AGGTCCAATCAGTACAGTGCTGACGCAGTGTCTACATGGAGTCCATGTGTCTCTGAGCCAGGGGACTGTCTGATCCTGCACTGGGGTAGGAGTGGGGGGGTTCCCAACAGCCACACCCTGATCCCCTGCCTCACTGGGGCTGAAGGACCCTCAAGAAAGTACACCTTGAGTTCAGTGGTCCTATATAGAGAGGTCTGGTTTTGCTATCTCACAGTGTTAGACTCTGGGCAGGGCCAGGTGTCTACTCTCTGCTCTGGAAAGAGTTTTGTGGAAGTTTGACGCCATAAGGTTACTTTTCTATCCAATTGGTTACTCCAGTTGGAACCAAATGGAGAGTTCTCCTATCAGATTTGACATTCAAAACAAGGATGTTCAGTGGGCAGTTGTATGCATGAGCCTGAAAATCAGATTGAAAAATCTCTTACTGGGCATGGTGACACAAGACTGTAATCCCTGCATTTTCGAGGCTGAGGCAGGAGGATCAATGTGAATTCAAGGCTAGCCTGGGCTATATAGCAAAACCTGTCTCAAAAAAAAAAAAAAAAAAAAAAAAGAAAAGAAAAGAAAGAAAAGAAAAGAAGAAAGTGGCATTTATGTGACACTTAAACTACTGGAATGTTTCGTGTCATCTAAGGAATAAGTGCAGAATTATGAATCTGGGTAGTATATGGAACCCAGAGGTACTCAGCATCTCTTTCTTTCTTTCTTTCTTTCTTTCTTTCTTTCTTTCACAAAGGAACATTTAACTCTTACATGTTCATATAGGGCTGAGAATATGATTACCAAGAATTGGCCACAGCTTTTATAAGGGAGATGTTATTTATAATGTGGGCTGGGGCAGATGCTGTGGTCAGAATGAGCTTGACCAGAGAGGGTTACAGACAAAATGAGAATTAAAGGTCCCTGTGTCATGCACTAATGTGACTTGAGACTGCACTGGCACCGACTTTGAGAAGTGCTACATGAGTTACAGACAAATTATTCTCTTTGTTTATTCATTTTAATTATTCATTTTTAAAATCAGTACCGGGGATTGAACTCACGAGCATGTGCTTGCAAGGCAGCACTTATGCTGCTGAGCTAAATCCCCAGCCCTAATTATTCATTTTTGAGATGCAGTCCTGCTGTGTGGTCCAGGCTGTCTTTGAACCACTATGAGGTCTAGGATGGTTTCAGACTCAACACTTTTCCTGCCTCAGCCTCCTGAGTGCTGGAATTATGAGCATACACCACGATGCCTGGCATTACAAGTAATTTTAAATCCAGCTGAGCTCAAGGAAAAAATTGGTATCTACAGGTACCCAAAGTGAAGAAGGAACTGAAACAAGACCAGTAAATTAATCTGACACCAGCTATGTAAGGATTAAACTGGATTCAGGAAGCTGGGAGCTTTGCTTTTTATGTTTATTTATTTATGTATTTATTTTTGTGCCGGGGATTGAACCCACAACTCCATGCTTGCAAGGCAGGTGCTTATGCTGCTGAACTAAATCCTTGGCCCCTAATTTTATTTTATTTTTTGTCTTTTTCCTTTTTATCGGTAACGGGGATCAAACTCACGACTGCCTGCTTGCAAGGCAGGTGCTTATGCCGCTGAGCTAAATCCCCAGCCCCTCCTAATTTTATTTTTTGACACAGGGTTTTGTTATGCAGTTCACGTTGGCCTTGAACTCACTTTGTAGCCCAGATTGGCCCTGAACTCACAGTGATCCTCCTGCCTCAGCCTCCTGAGTGCTGGAATTACAGGCGTGCATCACTGTATGAAGCCTTGTATTTATTATTATTATTATTATTATTATTACTATTATTATTTCTTACAGCAAGGTCTTGCTATGCAGTCCAGGCTGGCTTTGAACTCACTTAGAGTTTACTATAAAAATATTCAAATCAATGTCATCCTAAAACCCTTGGCAGAAGTCAATCAATGGAGGAAAAATCTTCCAGGATTCTTTATCACTGAGGGCACAATGGATCTCACTAGAGAAGGAAAGCCTTGTGACAGATGATCTCATAATCAAAACACGCTTGGAAACAATTCGTTATGCAAGAGAGAAACAACAAGCCAGGCATGGTATAATCCTAGCCCTTAGGCATCTGTAATCCCAGCACTCAGTTGGCTGAGGCAGGAGAATTACTGTGAATAAAAGATAAACTATGTAACAAGACTTTGTCTTGAGGGGCTGGGGATTTAGCTCAGCGGCATAAGCACCTGTCTTGCAAACAGGCAGTCGTGAGTTCAATCCCCAGTACCCATAAAAAGTTAAAAAAAAAAAAAAAAGACTTTGTCTTGAAACAAAACAAAACAACAAAACCCACATGCATGATGACCCATGACTGCAATCCCAGCTTGCATGAGACTAAGGCAGGAGGGTCATCACCAGTTTGAGGCCAGCCCGGGCTACATGGTGAGTTCAAGGCCAGCCTCAAAAGACAAAAAAACAGCAACAACAACAACAACAAAAAATCAACCAACAACACTTAGAAGGATTCAATGCCTATGGCCTCCAGATAATAGGGTATCTATCTAAAAGACGACACAAAGTAAGAATATTTAAAACAACTGCAATGTGGATGAGCTGCATCTCTAAGACTAGAAGTCATACAAAAAGGAAACACTTGGAAACAAAGACTGAGGGGGAGCAGGCTCCTCTTCTTCCTCATCCTGGTCTCTCGGGAGCCTTTATTTTCTTCTCCTTTTTCCTCCCAGTTCCTCTGCTCTTTCTTCCTCTCTTTCCCCCTAAACTAACATAAATGGGGGAGGAGAGACAAAAATGCTTTCCCGACTTAAAAAAGAAAAATCACAAGCACTTATATTTCTCAAGGAGAAAAGATGATTTAAATATTTTTAGCAGATCAGTTATTTATGACATGGGGGTGGGGTGGGTCTTGCCATGTTGCCCAGCCTGGTGTTGAATCCTGGGTTCCAGGGATCTTTCTGCCTCAGCCTCTCAAGTAGCTGGGACTCGTAGCATGCTCTAGGCCATACCTAGCTTTAGACCAGTTATTTTTCTGTTTCTTTTTTTTTTTTTTTGAACTTTTTATTTTATTGGTGCATTTTATTTTATTTTGGTACCGGGCATCGAATTCTCGACCTCGTGCTTGCCAGGCAGGCACTTGTGCCACTGAGCTAAACCCCCCAGCCCATTTTGGTGCATTTTAGTGATCACATAATGATCACATTCTTCATAGGGAATTTGCACCTGCACATGATAAAGCTTGCTGCTGTTTCCTTCTTTCCTCATTCCCTGCCCTGCCTTCAACCCTTCTCCCCTCCTTGTTTAGGAAAGCTTTGTTTCCGTTTTTTCCTTTTAGTCTCTTTTTTTCATATCCCTTCTTTCCTTTGTCCCCCTTCTTATTTGAACATTTTCTTCCCATTTCCCAAAGTCTATGATACATTTTCTCCTTATTTTCACTTTTGGTTTCCCACCCCAGAGAAACCATGAGATATTTGAACATGTGTGTCCGATGTATTTCACTTACCAGTGTATAGACCGGTTATTTATTAAGAATGACAACCAACGAGAAGTCAAGCATTAGAGGGTCAAGGTAGTTTACAGAGACACAACAATAATTTCCAAACTAACAGTGTATGTTTCCATTTCTTTTCTTTGGTACCGGGGATTGAACTCAGGCTCTTCGCTCTGAACGACATCTCCAGATTTTAATTTTTTACTTTGACACAGGGTCTCTCTAAGTCAGCCTTCTGTGGAAAAGTCGGTTCCTGTGTCTTTTTTTTTTCTTGTACTGAGGGTTGAGATCAGATAATGCTGAGCTACATCAACTTTGCTTTTTAAAAATTTATTCTGAGGTCAAGAGTCTCCCCGAGTTACCCACGTTGGCCTTGAACTTGCACCCCTCAGGCCTTTAGGTTCCCAGGTAGCTGGGATTACAGTGATGCATCACCAACGCTGGCTGATACATTGTCTGCCTTTCTCTACCACAATACTGCCATAAACGACTTCGCACCATGATTTCCACATGCAAAGAGGAATCTATGAACAGTGCAATCCGTGGGTCACAAATATAAAACTGCAATGTAGAGGCAGTGTTTTATTCATTTTTAAATACGTAAAAATATAAATTGTACAAAACACAAAAGAACATGCTAAATGGTAAAAAGGAAGTCTCCTTCATTCTCTTTTACCTCCTGTTCCTCTTAGAGGTCACTAAGGCTGCTCGTTTTTGCCATGGGCAATATTTCTGCCACTGTACTGCAGTTTATTGAAGTCTTTGGCTCGTGGGTTGGCCTTGTCTTCTTTTCTTCCTTTTTTCTTTGTTCCTTTTAAATGAAGACTGACCCTGACCCCGGGCTCAGGCTGGGCAAGTGCTTGACCACTGAGCTACACTGCTGTGTCCTGCATCCTTCCTTTCCTTTCCTGCTTTCCTCCTTTTCTTGTCTTTCCCTCTGCTCCTTCTTTGCCTTTTTATGGCTTGCTAGTTACTGGTTTAACATCACTGCTCCTGTATCCAGTCTTTGTCTCGTCACTAAGAGGGTTAGTAAGTCATTCAATGAAAGATTTTTCTTTTTCTCATCTACTAAATGGTTTTGAGACTGTCTCCATTAGAAAATAACAGACACTTGAAATTTTTAATAATTTAGGTACTTTTCTATCATAATTCATATCATCTAAGTTTAATTTTGGTCAAATATAGATTTTGATATTTTGTCACAGCCTTTTGCTTGCCATGTACTCAATTTGTCACAATCCTCCTGCATCAGCCTCCAAGTGCTAGAACTACAAGCATTCACCACCACATCCAATTAAATATAGGTGTTTTGGGGGTTTTTTTGTTGTTGTTGATGTTGTTTGTTTGTTTTGGTACAGGAATCAAACTCATGACCTCATGTTTGCCAGGCAGGTGCTGCTGAGCTGTATGCCCTGTCCCTTAAATAAGTCTTTAACTCACATCTACGCTTAAACTTTTCCATTTAGAGGTTATCTTTTCAGAGTCAAAAACTTCCGCTAAGCTTCAGCTCCTGCAGAGCCCTGACTCATTCCCGTGAGTCACAGAGTGTGCTCTGAGGGCTGGACCCGCACAGGCAGGGTGGTGGCTGTTTGTTCTCTCAGCCGGGAAAGTTTTTACTCTGGCTCAGCGCCTCACTCCCGTAGATTCACCTAAAGTCCTAGGGGTTCTTGGAATCCAATCGTAAGGGCTGCTTTGCATTGGTGACACTTTTCCGGGCCTCGTTTGCTCAGGCTCCGCCTGTGAACCTGGTGACTTCGCCACCCCAGTTCTCCAGGAACAGAGCAGGCTTTTCCACTGCAGGTTTCAGAACGGCTGGAGCCCCTTCCGGGGCCCTGGACCCTCCTGCCTGCCCATGAGGTCTCAGAGAAAGCAAAAATCACAGCTGGCTACTGAAGAAAAGCTGACACTGCCAGGTAAGCCAAGGGGGCTGCAGGACGAGGTCACCGGAGGAGCACAGGAGGGCAGGGGCCCGAGGGCCCCTGGGGTGCGCGCGTCCTGGGGCGCAGCTGCCCCCCACCCCATCGGCGGTCTCGGGAGCGGGGACCGCCGGAGCCCACCCGCTCCCCGCGTCTGGACGGGAGGAAAAGCGCCCCACGAGGTCCCCACTCAGCTCGGTAAGGTCAGAGGTGCAAGCGAGTCAGCGCTCACGCGCGGAAAGGCGTGTGAAGAAAGCGGGGCTCCGTCCGCTCCACCCGAGGGCACCGGTCACCGCCACCGCCCCAGAGGTCTCTGCTGCCCTGCCTGAGGCGTCTCGCACTGGACCGCGATAAACAGAAGAATGCAAGTGTAAAGACACACAAAAAAGAAACAGACACACACACACAAACACGCACACACAAACACCCTCAGAGAGAGGGGGAGAGAGAGACAGAGAGGAACAGACAGAGAGACAGAGACAGAGGGACGTGGGGGGGGGCCGAGAGAGAGAGATTACCTGCTGTATTCACAGTGCGATTCCTTTTGAGGAAAACATAAAGCCATTTCTGAACTTTGCAACCAAAATCTCAACCGCAGTTTCCTTGGTTAGTAAGTTACTATAATTTTTATTTTGTTCTTTCCATTATACTGTATTTTCTTTTTCTTTTCTTTCTTTCTTTCTTTCTTTCTTTCTTTCTTTCTTTCTTTCTGGTCTCAGACTCACAGTGATCCTCCTGCCTCAGCCTCCAGAGTGCTGGGATTACAGGCCTGAGCCGCCGTTCCTGGCTTATTTTTCAAATTTTCCAAAAAATAAAAAAAAATCACCACATCTGCTAATTATTGAGATACTTGGCCTTGTTTTTAAACGTTCTAATTTTCATCGTAAGGAAGAGTCTGTTTCTGTGCAGCCTCCACGTGAAGAGGAATAAAAACAGGATTAGAGCTAAAAGGGATAAAGGGAGCCAGGGAGGGAGCCGCGGAGGTGAGCGCCCCTTCTGCTGTCACCCTCGTGAAGCCTGGGTAGGAAGAAGTCCCTGCCTGGGGAAAGTGGGGTGGGAGGAGTTTCAGTCACCGAAGTCTTCACTGCTGCAAGAGCCAAGCTAACTCAGTAAGCTGCCCACCGGTGTGTGTTCAGTCTGGGGAGCCTTGAGTTCCATTCCATTTTGTATTTCTACTTCATCTGTACTTCCTGTTAACCAAAACCCTTGGAATTCTCACAATACAAGATGCCCTTGGGTGAGGGGAGGGGGACCCAGCTCCCTGGCTTGCTGCCCACTTCCGATGCCCAGGTGGACCGGTGGCCACGTGGGAGTAGTGGCTTCTGTCCTGTCCCCAGCAGCTGGGGTCCAGTTGTGGGCTCCGGCTCAGTTGCAGAAAAACACTTTCTGGGGCTCCTGTCAGGGACGCTGACTCTGGACAGCCACACCTGAGACCCACTGCCGCTGGGGAGAGGCAAATGTAGATGTTTCTGTTGCTCAGGTCATGGTGATTGAGTATTCGGATGGACTTGTTTTTAGGACTTTAGTGTTGTTGAAATCGTAGAAGAATTGGATCTAATCCAGCAGTCAAAAAAAAAAAAAAAAAAAAAGCAAAGATTCTCACCCCCTGTCCTGCCCCAGGTTAAGCTGAGTTCAGAAAAGGGGGGAAATTCAGAGTCCACAGCTTGGCCCCTACAGCAATGGTGGGCATTCTTCTGCCACTGTGTCCATGGAGGTGACCAATGTGCAGCCAGATGTGAAGATGTTTCTGAGACAACTGTGTGAGCGCAGCAGAGCTGGAAGCAGCAGCAATAGAGACGCCGCTGCTGGGCAGGTGCAGACCAGGCTGCCCCCTGCTCACCGCACTACTGGGGACCGGGAACTCACCGTGGCTAATTTGGATAGTTCCCTGAGCGATGGAGGCTTGGGATTATGGTGTCACCCTTTGGAGACTTCCCATTAATTCTTGCGATGGGCCATCCTCTCCCACCAACTAAGGGTAAACTAAAACTATTAAGATGAAAAAGAACACTCCAAAATAAGATCCTTCTTAGCATAAAATCATCTCCACACTCTTGAGTCATCCCAGGATTATTTGCTGCCCGCAGTGTCTTGGTGCCATGGACTTCTGAAGCTTCCCCAGCCCCTCCTATCATGGCATGCCCCTGTTGCATTGCACACACCCAATACACAGCAATTGGTTTGGAGTATCTAGACTTTTGCCCATCCTGAGCCACTGACCTCCAGGCCTTCATCATGCATTACTAAATTTATCTCTGTTTCTTATTTTATCCTTCATATACCCCTCACACAGGCAGTTGGAGATCTTGACCCGGTCCCTGATACCACCCCACAACATCTCCAGCCCCAGCCCTTGGTTCTTAGCACCTCCTGCCAATCCCTGCAGTGCTTGAGTAAAGAAAGTGGCAGATGGACTTTTCTCCCCAGTACAGGAAAGAAAAACCATACCTATTTCTTTTGAATACATCCAGATTCTATCAGGTGATCCTGAGTTACAGAGGATTGTAAGTCCAGCCTCCTGCTTTATCTCCAGGTTTCTGTGGATGGTTCCATCTGTCCTGAAATCAGAATTGAAAGCTCTCTGGGTCTCCTGGAGCCACCGCAGGAAATTTTGTGATGCTGAAAGCAGATGTGATCCTAATCAGTCTCCTGTAGAATCCCTGGGGGCCTGGAGGGCCATGTCACACTCTGGCGTCCTCTGCAGACAACAGGGTTGTGCTCTGAATAGACAGAATGTGTCTCTTTTGATGCAGCTAGTTTGCCAAGGTACATCTCAACAGGTACTGAGCCAGGAGGACGTCCTGGGACCCTGTCATCTCCTGAGTCATGGACAGAGTGACAAGTGCTGCCTGCCTTTGGAAGAGCAAATAGTATAGGTTATATTAGTAAACACGGATGTTTGTATCTGATTTCATAATGTTATCATGAAGTGGTAAGTGTGACTTTCACATTAGAGGGAGAATGTGCTCTCGGAGCCCAGCAGCATTGGAGGTGTCCTTGGGAGTTTGGGGTTGTTATTTTGTTTTGTTTTGAATTTTTGTCCTACAGGAATTATGGTAAAGTTCATTCTAGGTGTGGAAGAAACCTGAACTGTTTTATCAGTAAAGTAAGTGCGCATGGGTGATGGTGAATGTGTGTCCTGCAAATGGAAAAGCAAGTTTTATTCTGTTAACTTACTCACCTGGGAACCAGCGTGGTTCTTTCTAATCCGCTCTTGTTCTCCAAAAAACGCTTGGCTGAAAGTTGCCAAAGTGGAGATAGACCAGTGACGATCAGATGTCATCAGGGATCGTGAATTCACCTTATTCTACAGTGTGGAGACAGCAAATTTGAAAACTCACTGATCCAAAAGAAGCATTTCCATATATGTGTGAGAAATAGAATTCATTTGTTAATTTAAAAAACTTTTCCTCTTGGTCTCTTAAATTACACCTTTCATGTAGTAAGGATGGTTTGTATTTTCAGAGAAAAATTGTTTCCTTTCAAATCATGTAATTTTACTAAAATTTTATTTGAATGAGTATCTTTCCCTTTGACATTTTTCTTGTTTCTAACTGTAGGAAATCCAAAAGAATATGGGGGGGGGGGAACTATATTTTAAATTTGTCATTGACCTCTGTCCCATTTTTGCTTTGTGACTTCTCATTTAACAATAAATTACCTAAAAAAATAAATAAATTTTTCCACACTAAACATTAAATTTACATATAGTATGCCAAAGAAAGAATAAACAGGATCCTTAGAAGTTAAAAGTGAATTTCAACACTTGAATGAACTTTTTTTTTTTTTTTTTGTCTTTTTCCTTTTTATCAGTACTGGGGATCGAGCTCAGGACTGCCTGCTTGCAAATGCCGCTGAGCTAAATCCCCAGCCCCCCCCTTTTTTGAGACAAGTTTCACTACACAATTCAGGTTGGCCTTGAACTCGCTATGTAGGTCAAACTGGCATCAAATTCACAGCAATTCTCCTGCCTCACCTTCCCAAGAGCTGGGATTATAGGCATGTGCCACCAATCCTGGCTTTGAATGGATATTTGAATATGAATAGCCTCAGTCTTACATTTTCCTATTTATTTATTAATATTGATAGTACCTAAATTGCTAGCATAGTTTAAAAAATTAAAAACTAAATAACTAGAAATTCCAGGGCTGGGGATTTAGATCATCTGCACAAGTGCTTTCCTGGTAAGTGCAAAATCCTGGTTCAATCTTCAGTACCAAAAGAAAAACAAAAAACAAAACTCAACCATAGCTAGAATAGTTGTTTGGGGTGGATAAGATTTCGTGACCAAATAGTAGTAATGATCAAAAAAAAAATGGGAATGAAGTGCAGTGAATGAGCATAAACTTATCATTTCAGGGCAACTCTGAGGAAATGTCTGTGCTCATGTCTTTCCATTTTCCTTTTGTCCAGTAAAGCAGCCCTCATGTAAACCCCTCATAAAGCATTCTGGAAGGGTGCTGACTGGTCATCTCTTCCTGCCCTCACCCCACTCAGGAACCCTTCCACGATCCTCCAAAATCTTGCCTTCAGAGACGTGGAGCTCCAGACCCCATGGGATCAAGAGTTTCAGATCAGTCTTGGCAACTCAGTGGGATCCTGCCTCAAAATTAAAGTAAGGGTTGGGATTGCAGCTCAGGGGTGGAGTGCTTGCCTTACAGACATGAGGCCTTGGGTTTAATTCCCAGTATTGCCTCCCCCCTAAAAAGAAGATTCAAAAGTATTAATCAAGTAGCACCCTACAAAACTGGAAGATTACTATTAAAGAGAATAGAGAAGGTCTCCACCAGTCATTCTTACCCAGAGATACATTCTCAGTGGGGAATTTTGGAAAAACACCAATACCCCAAACTCCTACCAGAGAAGTGAATTCAAAGCATCTGGAGCAGCCTACGTTAGGACCTGGGGAAATGGAAATGAGGGAGTAAATATGGCCAGCCAACTTGATAAGAGCTGACTACAACATTTGAATCCCAAGTGTATCTGCAAATGCAGAGAAAGAGTCTGTACTGTATCACACATATCTCACTTTCTGACAAAAATATTTCTTCCCAGAGCTAAACTCTAAAAGAAAGCTATCATATGTCCTGGTAATGTCATAGTGATTCATTTTCACTAAGTGCTTACAACATGCTAAGTATTACAATACAGTTTCAGGAATTAATGCCTTTTAATCCTCATGACATGCCTGTGAGGTGATTCTATTAATCTAATGTTTCCAGTGAGGATTCTTACTTAGACTTTGAGAAGTTAAATACATTGCCAGCTTTGAGATTTTTAGTTCTAACCACAGGATCCTAGTTCTTCACCATTTCATGGTATTGTTTCTGATGTGAATATATTAGGTAATACTTGCAGTCAAAGTCTTGCAAAAGACAGAAACAAATGGAGAGGCATTCGGGACACAGGTTGGGGAGAGCCAAGATGGAAGCTAAGCCCCCGCCTGTGAGCTGCCAGAATACAGGCTGGGGAGAGGAGAACAGCTCCCCCTTCCTAGCAACTGATTCGGAGGAACAGTATTGCTTGATTGACTTTATAAGCCTAAATAAAGCCAAGCAACTCTTAAGAGGACAACAATATGCAATATAGTAACTATTGTAGATTTCTTGCTGTCTTATCACTGTTTTGATTTGTTTTATTGCCCTGTTTTATTCCTTTTAAAATTACAGAGGAAAAATATTGAAGAAGTTAGTGGGATCCAAAATGTACAATAGATACTGTGAAGGTGAAAGAGGAGGAAATGACTACAAAGGGAAGGAGGCAGCCACTGCTGATTTCCTGTTGCCTTGTTTTGAAGTCCTGTATCGTTTTCATTGTTCTGTTTTGTTTGTTTTGTTAGATTCTATTATATCTGATGGTATGGGCAGTTATTCTTTTTTTTTTTTTTTACTGCTATAAGATTTTTTTAAAACATTTTTTTCCAGATCCATTTTATTTCAAAGATTAAAAAAAGAAGACGAAGAAGAAAAACAACTGCAACAAAATTTCAGAACACATCAGTCAGGGGGCAACAGTGGTGGGCAGCTATTCTGAAGATAACATGAAACAGTACTGTAGCCATTGCTGATTTTCTGTCATCTTGTTTTGAAGTTCTGTATTACTCATTGTTTTCTTTCCTTTTTTTTTTTTTTTTTGCTTTTATTCTCTTTAAAATAAAATTAAGAACAAACAAAAAAAAAACCCAAATGGCGATTCCTTTAAAATAAAGACAGGAAACTATGAAATAAAGGCTGGAGGTAAGAGCTCTAAGTGATTTAACACATGCATTTCTGTGAGGTCTTGGGATACTGTTTCGCCTTCTGGCCATCTATGGGGAGAGCCTGAAGTTCCAATTCCTTGGGAGGCTGGAGCTTCTAGAGGGTGGTGGTTACCACTGGTTACCACTTCCACTGGGTCCTCCGATGCACCCTGGCTGCAGCCTGGGGGAGGGTACGCCTCTCTCACAAGGTGAGGTAAGCGCCCCAGCTCATAGGGAGCACAGGTGTAGCGCAGGCTGGAACGAGGCCAAAGAGCATATATTCTCCTGTGAGTGAAGGCTTTTGGAAGCAAACTCAGCAGGACGTGGAGGGTGGGGTGAGATGCCAATAAAAACTTCCTATTTGAGGAATTAGACGTGGGGAACATAAAGAAAGTGGGCGGCACTGGGCCTAAGGAAATCCCCTCACTGAAGAGAAGCATTAAGGGGTGAAGCAGTGTGGTCCCAGGCCAGGATCCTAAATGTGGGGTGTGCCCTTGGCCTCAGAGGCAGCAGAGAGGACAGCTACTCTAAAAGTAAGGAAGGCTGGCCTGGGAGTGTGGCTCAGTGGTAGATCACTTGCCTAGCACCGGCAAGGCCTGGAGTTCAAGCCCTAGCACCGAAGAAAAGAGAGCAAGAGACACGGGGAAGGTCGTAGGAATTCAAGCTTAGGGCACCCAATAAGGGGCCGAAGAGTTCACACGGTACTTCTTGTTGATGAATGAAGGGAGAATCGTCGGCTGTGTGGGTCGCCCCTGGGTGTCACCTTTCCCTTGAAACGTGCCGGCCTGGAGACAGCGGAAACACGACCCGGGCCGGAACCTCTGCATTCTCCTTCAGGCCACCCAGAGTCTTCAGAGTCAGGGGAGTCAGGAACAGCACAGCAGGAATGGTGCCGGGCACTGCCGCCTGCTTCACTCCCCGTCATGCATGCTTCATTCTGCATTTCCAAGTTGGCCCCTCCACCTGGACAACACCTTCCAGACGCAGTGGCCCGGTGGGTTTGAGGTTCCATGGATACCAAGGTGCTGACCGAGCCTCTCTTCCATCTGCTTGGCTTCCCGATGGCACGGCAAGCTTATGGAAGGGGAGGATTCCTGTCTTTTAAAATGTCTCTTCTTCCCAGGACTCAGGGCTATTCAACTAGAGTTTACCCTGTGTATTTTTCAGAACAGCACCAGACACAATGACATATTTAAATGCTGTTTTTGATTCAGTCTTTACCAACTCAGAGTTGGAAATTACCGGTTTTTTTTTTTTTTTTTTTTTTTTGGTAAAGATAATATTCATGATAAAGCCTCACTTTGACCAGGTGGGTTGGAGTTCAACAAGTCTGAGACTGAATGCCAGCCCTGGCACTTATTAACTATATGACCCTAGGCAGGGCCCTAAGAGCTACAGTTTCCTGGAGGAGAAATCTGGTTATAGGGCCTCTTCAGAACGGCTATAAGGATTAAGCTGCACTCCAAAAGCAAATGGTCTGACGCAGTCAATGGTTACCATTGCATTCAATAAATACTTTTGTTAAAGAACAATTAAAATTCTCCATGTTTTATTTCTATTTTCTCTTTTCCCCAAATCAGAATGATATTTCCAATTTACCTTTGGAGGTTAGATATTTTCTGATTGTAGGATGTCGGTAGGTATCCTGTTAAACCAAGGTTTTTTTCTTTTTTGGTAATGATCTAAATTCTAAAACCAATCATAAATAAGTCTAACTATTCCCAGTTGAGGCTATAGGAATGTGAGGCCCTAATCCTTCATTTAGCCCCCACGGAGATGATGACCCTGGTGGTGGTAGGCAGCGCCCATCTGAGGATTCCACTTCCGGTGGTGAGCTCAGAGCGAGCCCTGGTGGCAGAATTGTAAGCCCTGGTGATCAGCTGAAATCAACCACCACATGGCTGTGGCTGAAAGGAAACCACTGTGAATCACTCAAGTCTAAACTTTATTTCACCCAGGAACAGAGTGATAAAATGGCATTCTCCTCCGTTTAAGTGGCAGCCCAGTTTCTTCTTGTCTCCACTCAAGGCTGCTGGCAGGGGTTGTTGGAGGTTATAGTGCCAGGCATGAAGATTCCGCCCTCCAGGTAAGAGACCATGCTCTTGGCTGTTGGCTTTACCCTCGCCTGTGGGGTCGGCCCTGGTACTCGCAGACCCTTAGATGCCTCTGTAAGTATAGTAAAACTCTGTTAATTTGACATTAGTATTCAGTTTAGAAAGAGTGAAACAGCCAGTTGACAAGGTGAGACATTTTCTTGATATAATGGGTTTTTTTTTATTGACAGCGTCAACAATATTTGAAATGAACTAAAAAAACTCAGAGCCCCCATGCAGCCAATAAATCACAACAGCAGTGACATTCACACCCTCAGTGGGCAGCTGTGAACAGTCATGTCTTGCTACTCTAAGCTGGAACACTGGATTATAAAATACATGCTTTCCCTGCACTAAGGCAATGAAAGAACATTATTAGTCTCTTTCATGATTTTAAGGTAAGGTAAAGAAGAATTTCCTGATTAAATTTCTGAACAAAGTTTTCATCACATATTTCCTTGTCAGTTGTAAAACAATGTTGTCCTAGCATCTCTGATTTTGTTTTGTTTTGTTTGAGACAAGAACTTGCTATATCATTCACACTGGCCTTGAACTCATTATGTAGCCCGGGCTGGCCTCAAACTCAAGGCAATCCTTCAGCTTCAGCCTCCCGAGTGCTGGGATTACAGGTGTACATCACTGCACCCAATGAAAACCTGCTTTTATATAACTTGCTGTGTTTTTCAAACCTTATCATTTAACTCAGAGGTTGTGAAAACAAAACATTACTCAACCTAACAGCAAAAATAAACCAAAAACTCCTATTTAAAATCCTTGTTGCAAAGCATAGTTAATGAGTAAACAGAAATTATTGACTTGTGAGAAACATCCTTATTTAGATAAGGAATGACCAGAACACACCGGAAGAGGAGGAGTACCTATCTGACATTAAGAGCCCATTGTGGAAACAGAAAGTCAATTAATTTACTTTCTCCTTTCCTTCCTTTTGGCCAACTTGTCTTTCTTTCTGGCTCATCTTTGGTATCTGAAAGTTCTTATATATATTTTTATCCCAATAATAAACTCAGACTTTCCTTATATCCACACATACTTATGGACCGGGTGCCATACTTTACTCAGAATGGCAAGAATCTTTGCATGAAAATTGATAACATACATTTTAAGGTGCACAACCATTTTAGAGAAGCAGATTGCAGTGGGCCATAAGTTTGTCCATTTTCTATGCTAGTTTAGAAAACTTATGAGGAAGACTGAGGAAGGATTTAGCACCCTTGCACTCAATTTTACCTGTCTCAAAAAGGCCAAAAAAAAAAAAAAAAAAAAAAAAAAAAAAAACCAAATGAAATCCATAGGAGATTGATGGTGTCCCCACTGGGAATCTCACACATCTCTAGCTGTTCTGAAGCTTCATGGGTTCTGCTGCCTCATATCAGGATATTTAGGTTTGGACAGTGGGGAAAGAGTTGTGAAATGTTAAAAAAATATCATGGCTGTTAATATTTTGCCATAGCCTTAGGGAGTTCAAAATTAGGGAAATTCAACCATTTGCAGGAGAGCACGTTGATAAAGTGGCTTCCAGAGCTGTCCAGGACATTTGGAGGGGGTTGTTTCTGGAAAGTCAGGTATCGGTTTAAAGGAAAGATTATCTGGTTTTATCTGGATATTTGGGATCCAACCATCATCATCCTCTGTGAGAGTTGGTGGCATGGCAGGCATCACAGCTTCAATGAGATCTGAGTCCTGAAATCCAGCAAGGGGAACTGTTACACCTGGCGGGGGTAGGAAAGGGACAGGTGTTGGCCCTCCTGCGTTCTCTTCGGTCTGTGCAGGAGATGAGGTACCAGCTTCCAAAGAGCCTGCCACATGCTCTGTTCTCCGGTCACTGTGCCTTCCATCGCTTTGGCCTTTACTTTTATGTTTTCCATGGCCTTGACCATGCTTATGCTTATTTTCATGTCCATGGTCAAGGCCATGTCCTCTTTGATGTTTAAAATCATAGTCAAGTTCAGGCTGATATCCATGACCAAGGCCATGTTGTTTTTGATGCCCCTGGCCAAGGCCAGGCTTATATTTACGGCCATGGCCAAGCCCATGTTTTGTTTGCTTTTTGTGGCCCCCGCCATGCCCAGGAGTTGGTTCTTGTCCTTTCTCTGGATCCTGCTCTTCGGCTTGTACAGGTGCTGTGGTAGTGTAGGGTGGACTTACAGTTGTTTCTTTGGTGTTCTGTATGTATGTGGTTCGGAAGGGTGAAAAACCTGGAGGCCTTCTCGTCAGTAATACCTACATAGGAAATATGAAGATGGATGCATTACTCCAAAACCCACACCATCAGTGAAGACAGGAGGGACCTGACAATGCTATCTTGCTTATGACAGGGTAAGTCTTGGCCCAGTTTTCAATCCTATATTAATCTTCCAGAAAGGATGAATAATATATTATCATTTGTGATGGATCTTAAAAAGTGTGGATATTGAGTCTTGTTCTTAATCATACTCTAAAACAAGCTGGAGGGTTTTGTCTTCTTCTGGAAAAGCTGAGTGAACTGTCTAATCTGCAGTGTACGTATCTTGTAGGCCTAGGATTATGTGAGTCTATGGCACACTGTTGTCATAGACTTGATAGTATCTCTTACCATTACCGTGATTGCTTTAATCCTGAAAGGCCGTAAGTGTCTTTACGAATGAAATGCACAGGGAGCTTGCACAGGGAGTGATCACCTTGCTGAGCTGAACCACATTAGTATGAGGAGCCACACAGGCAATTCTCTTTGACTCTCCTTGAAAAAAGGAGCAACTATCTCCATTTTGAGTAAACCTGCCTTATGTACTCATATCTACAGAGCTGGCTAGGTTATTTCTTTGTCCCTTCAGTTGGCTTTAAGCATTGTAAACTGGGCTGGCTGAAGAGCTGATGTGTCTTCTCTAAAGCAAAGCGACAGGTCAGTATTACCCTACCCGGTGACTCCCCAAATACATGGTTGAGTCTGATGGGATGGAGAGCCATGCTCCACACTATTGGCTGGGACGGAGTCTCGAGAAATAGGCTGTAATTTCCCAGGGCAAAAAACGATTGTCCATCAGGGCTGAAGCACCAACCTCAAATTATTAGACACTGCCTTAGCTGTGTTACGCAGACTGCTCTCTCTGCATTTCTTGCCCTCTGCATATTGCAGAGGTGATCTCAGGCCTCCTACTTAGGCCAGCTCATGGCAGTCAGGTATTTCCCTGCCACTCTTACTGTCACTCATCCCTGAGCTCCGCCCCTCACGGGTAATTAACATACGTAAGGCTCTGGGTCATGGCCTTTGTTCCAGTGAACACCATCTCAGCTGAACTTAGGACCCCTTGGCTCCCCACAACTGTGTATATGTCTCTGTGTCTTTCTTCTCACTATAGGTTGTACCTCAAGTGGTAGATTGGAATTAACTCACTAGAATTCCAGTAGCTTCTCCTTGGGATTACAATTATAAACCTCCCTGGACCACAACAAGGACAGGAAAGGGTTCCCTATAATTAGGATATGCTCCTGAACTGGACATGCGACCTTTGTGTGTCTGCATACACACACGTGACAAGCATCTAAATTAGAAAGGAGAGAAGAGGAAACTAGTACTAAAAATATGAATGTGTGGATTATTGCCATCCACGCTTGTGTTACCCGTGAGAACATACTGTAAGACAGTGTTCAGGGCCAGGCAATGTGGGCTTTGGAGTCAGGGCAGACTCTCCTAGTACCCTGTATTGCAATGAAGTGTGGGCTCCGATCTGAACTATACTTGGCTTCACTGAACTACTAGCTCCAATTTTTGTTCCTGCAAAGTAAGATTACTAACAGTACTTGCCTCATACAGTAATAGGAGAGCAAGCAGAAAATGTACACAAAGCTATTCTGTACAGCACCTGGGGCCGATAGAGTTCTTAATAATGTCATTTACTCTGAAAGTTAGCACTTAGGTTTAAGTGTCTCCTGGCTGACAATGGAGAAAGTGCTACTCATCCCGAAGGGGTCTCTTAAGACTTAAAAAAACAAAAGATGGGGGCTGGGGATTTAGCTCAGCAGCATAAGTACCTGCCTTGTAAGCAGGTGGTCGTGAGTTCGATCCCTGGTACCGATAAAAATGAAAAAGACCAAAAAAAAAAAAAAAAAAAAAAAAAAGATGCAAACGAATGCTTTTCACACTTGAAATGTGTGGCTAGTCGGGGATTTTTGAAAATGCAGATTCTGATTGGGTAAATGGAGGCTGAGTATTTCCCACAGTGCTCCACAGTTGCCCCAGACACACCATCAAAGCGCAAGCCGGAGTTAGTGCCTCACAGCAGGTACTGTGGCCCTGTTACCAGCCCATAGAAGATCCAGGGACACTGAGGGCATGAGAAGTGATCAACAGAATTGTTGCTTTCTTCTCTAGCCATAAAAAATAAAAGAGAAAGGGAGAGAGAGAGACAGAGCAGGCTGTCACTCAGTGGTACAATGCTATTCCTCATGTGTAAGGCCCTGGGTTCAATCCCGGGCACTATAGGAAAAAAGAAACAAAAGAGAGAGACCATCACAAAAATACAAGGCTTTGCCCCACTTTAAAAAAAGGTAGCCTTCTCCCCCATGTAATTCAGGGACAGTTCATTTCCAGAAGGAGCAGAGCCATCCCACCCCGACTGCAATTAGAACGGTACCTCTCCTAGAGTTTCACAGGTCACAGTAGGGTAGATTTTCTTCTCCCAAGGTATCACAAGCACGTCAGCTTTGCAGGCAAGACGTTTCTGTTCACGAACACAGAAGCCAGAAGAGAGACCAGTGTTATGCTTGAGATACCTTAGCAAGTGACGCTTAAACATGTAAAACAGGTTTCCAGAGAAAAAGGTAGACCAGCACACTATTACTCACACCAGGCTTCTTGGTCTCACAGCTTTCGGTTAATTGTTGATTGCTTTCTTTGGAACATGTGGTTTCGCTGGCTGTGAACTCAATAGAAAACTTTTTCCCAGCCACTACCTGGAAAGTTAAGTAGCATAAAATAAATGCTTAATAGATATTTGCATATTAAATTACATATATTGAGGGGGGAGAGGATACCAGGAATTGAACTCAGGACCTCACACTTGCCAGGCAAGTGCTGAGCCATATCCCCAGCTCTGTAAATTGTATTCTTTTCCCCTAAGGAGTGCAATGAGAATCTTGATGGTTTCATTGTATACAATAATGACCAACTTCAGTTACACCCCCAAAAAGTACAAATACTTGATATCAAAATTTTCAGTTTGTGTTTATATTTAAAACATTTGGTTGTTGGTTGGTTCCATTTCCTTTTTTAAAAAATTTTATTTAAAGAAAGACTAAACAAAACAGAAAATGGGTAGAAACAATACATACTTTTTTTTTTTTTTTTTGTCTTTTTCTTTTTTATCAGTACCGGGGATCAAACTCACCACTGCCTGCTTGCAAGGCAGGTGCTTATGCCGCTGAGCTAAATCCCCAGCCCCAATACATACTTTCAAAGAAAGAAATACAGTAAGAAATCACTAGTTGATGATTACAGATTTTCCTCTTACAAATAATTATTCAAGATACTAAAGTGGAGCATATAAAGTGGGGATTCCAACAGTGAGATTGCAAACAGTTCTGTTCAACTATCCAACAAAAACTTAGAAATATGATTATCAATCCTATACACTTAAACATACATGCAGTTATCCATACCTTCAACTATGTTGAGATTGAACAAACCCAATCAGTCTAATATCATTCTGAACAAAGCATAGTACTATTGCTGGGTTTCACATTATGACCCTCTAGGATCAGCACTGGGTACTTTAGTGTCTCTTTTTCTTTAAAGTATCTGTTCATTTCATCATGTGTCTTAAGGTTAGTTCTCATAAACTGTTTATAGACTCTACATATGTATGAGTCTTAACATGTATTTCTATCCTTTCTATATTAGAGGGAGAAACAAAACAAAGCAAGGCAAAACAAAACATATTCCTATAAACACACGAAATGAAAAAAAATATAAGACCATTGTACAAGGAGTTCTACCATAGTTACTATGTTGTCTCTTGTTATCTTCAATAGAATTGGCTATATCATCAGACATAGTATGACTGAATATATCAGTACATAACAGTATTAATAAAAACACAACTTTGTATATAGTATAAAACTTCAAAAACAGGCAGTTATCAAACCAGAATGTGTATCGTAGAGTCTTGTCATCTTCAGTGTAGTTGCTTATACTCTCAGACTTGATGCTATCGATTGTATCAGTTTTGAATAAAATCTGTCGTTACCAAACAGCAATCCAACAAACCAGATTTAACTAAGATCAGTCATGATAAAACAGTATAAGTCATACAGGGCTCTAGATTAAGATAACAGGAAATTAAAGATGATTACTGTGCTATATCCTAATGTTTTTGGGATAGCTGTCTGTGCCTTCAAATCTAATGCAAGTAGACAACTGTGGTCCCATTTCCTTTTCTCAATGGAAGAAAAGCAGGTTACAATGTTTTTTTCAGGATTGTATCGTTCAATAGCTGCAAAAATGTACTAGGTCCAAGCTGTAATAGAATCAAAGAAGTAAGGAGAAAACCTTAATGTTTCCCTTAAATGTCACCTTGTTTTCCTGCCAAATCTTGAATCAGTGAAATACTGAGTTACTACTACTGTAGAAAATATGTGAGGTGAGGCATGGTGGTATACGCCTGTAACCCCAGCACTCTGGGGGCTGAGGCGGGAGGATCGCCAAGAGTTTGAGGCCAGCCTGGGCTACATAGTGAGTTCAAGGCCAGCCTGAACTATATAGTGGAACCCTGTCTCAAAGAAAAAAACAATGTGCGAATTAAATTATCCAAGTAGAAAAATTTTGGGGATTTTCTAATGTTTCTCTTACATTTTTAATATTAAAAACTACTTTAATGTCTAACCACCATTGTAATCACTGCACAACACTGTCTTCCATTAAGCATTTCGTACCAAATATCTTAACCCTGGTATTTAGTATTTACTTGTAAAATACATGTGTATGTAATATTTTGTAGTTATTAAAAGAACCTGTGCCTTACATATTTATTGACTTGGGATGTAGGGGAGAACAGCCAGTATTTATTTATCTTTTTATCTTTCTTTCTTTCTTTTTTTTTTTTTCTTTTTGGTACTGGAGACTGAACTCACAACCTCGCCCTTGCCAGGCAGGCACTTGTGCCACCAACTTAAATCCCCAGCCCACAGCTGGTATTTCAACAAAAGATAGTTACAAAATGAGAGTGTAGTCTCCTTTTTACAAAGCAAACTTCAAGTCTCCTCTGTCTCTTTATGTTCTCGGTACTTTCACAAGTGATCCCTAACATATAAAATAGATTTTCAGTGAGACACGTGACAGGTGGATATGGAGAGGAGCGACACAGGAAGAACGGAATGCCTGTCTCCTACCTGGGATTGAACTCACAACCTCATGCTTGCTAGGCAAGCGCTTAGCCACTGAACTAAACCCCCAGCCCCTCAGAACTCCTGTCTTATCTGGCATTGTTTGGCTGCATCATTCTGCCTGTGGTTTTATTTATTTATTTTATTTTTTGGCTATGTCTTTAGGATGAATTTATTGATTAACTTTTTTTTTTTTTAAATCGGTACCGGAGATCGAACTCACGACCACCTGCTTACAAGGCAGGTGCTTATGTCACTGAGCTAAATCCCCAGCCCCTATTGATTAACTTTTTTTTTTTTTTTCACACACCTGAAAGATGTGGATGATTAACTTTTTAAAATCTAGGTATGCAAAGCAGATTCCAAGAGGCCTCCTGAGCCTGTACTTTGTAGTTTATGAGTTCTCTTGCTCCTTTCAAGTGTATATTTTAAATCACTCATTTTCTTTTGACATTAAAGTCAGTCAGTGTGGAGATGTGGGGGCACACTCCTGTTATCCCAGTACTCAGGAGGCTGAGGCAGGAGGATTGCTGGGAGTTTGAGACTAATTTGCTCCACACAGGGACTTCAAGTCTAGCCTGGGCCACACGGTAAGAACCTGTCTTAAAAACACATAAACAAAAAGCTGGTCAATGTAGTATCAGCTCAGACAACTGACAATCTGTGATGCAAACAACAGCTTAAGGCTTAGCTCTGCTCAGTGCACAGAAGGCAGGAATTAGGTGGAACTAATAGCATTTCCCACCCCAGGGCACAGGCTCAGGACCCTCTTGCTGTGATTTCCCAGGTGCTCCTTCTTCCCAGAGGTCTTCCCGACTCAAACCCATCCTGCCCAAGTTTTCTTTTTAAGGTAGAGAACCACTTGTATAAATATAAATAGTCATATAATTCCCAAATGCATTTTAAAAATTAAAGTAACTAGAAAAATATAAATATTCATCAGAGCTCAGGCTGTCGAAGGGCTTTCTTAGGTAAGAAGTAGAGGAAAGAATCATAAAAGAAGACCACGCTTGCATCTGACCACACAAATGAAAACTAATTCTCAAAAATCACAGCAAGCAAAGCAAAAGGCAAATTGGGAAAACTACAGAGCAGGGTCAATATTCTTGCGTGGATAAAGCCCAACTCTAAGAAATGGACAAAGGGCCTGAGCAGGTATCAGGCGGGAAGTTAAAATGGGCCTCTAGGGTGAAAGCAAGATTCAGTTTTGTTATTGATATTTTGTTTTGTCTTTTTTGAGACAGGGTCTTGCTATTCCATTCAGCCTGGCCTTGAGCTCACTTTGTAGCCCAGGCTGGTCTCAAACTTGCAACTATCTTCCTGCCTTAGCCTCCTGAGTACAAGCTTCAGTGTTACCAGCCAAAGGCACACACATGAGAAAGCAGCACAGCGAACTTCTTAATCCTCTGCACTGGCAAGAATGGAAACAGCAGCCCTACCTGGTGTTCACGGGCCATCAGCCATGGGCAGCGCTCAGCCTCAGTCATAGCTGGTAGGAGCAGAATTCAAATCAAGATCCCAGGCCAGTGCTTTACAGCCGCTTGGTGTGAATATAAATTGGCACCATTGCAAATAGTGTGGCGATTAAGCAATTAGTATCCAGCCTCAGACAACACATTTCTATGACTTGGTTAAAGGGAAGACTCCCAAATATGCCTGCATAGGTTTCTGACGTTTACTTGTTGGAGCAGAGGCAGGGAGACTATCCACTGCCTCGGGCCCAGCAGCAGCACGGTGCAGGGGAGACTCAGGAAGTGTAGAGACCCCGAGCTGGCATCTGCTTTGGGATGGGAGGGCACCGCACAGGATCTGAGATGCAAACCCCAGCAAGATGATAAAGTAAACCCCTGGGAAGCTGGAAACTGATTGCTTGCTGATTTGTTCTTAGCATATTTATCCTATGGTTATTTTCTGTAAACCAGCTGCTTCCACCAAGGCTTTGCTAAATGGCAGTGTCTAAGGAACCACATTGCTGTTTGAAATGCTGGCATCAGTAAAGATTCATCTGTTGAAAGTAAGTTTGAAATTCTCCTTCACTCAGGTGGATCGGACAGCTCCCTAAAGGGTTACTGGCTCCCTCTGGTTCACAGCCTTGTGCCTGGTGCTCCTGGAGTCTGTTCCTGGCATTCTAACTGAGAGTGCACATGAATTTACAGAAAAAACTATCTATCAGAGGTCCCGCAGGCAGTGTTTGAGGATAAATGATTTCCTCCTTGATTGCAAACCTCTAACATGAAATATACAGCAGACAATCCCAGCATCCTTTGGAAGGGAATTTCACACCACAGGAAACATGTGACCTGAGAAGCAAAGCTGGTGTAAACAGGAGTAGCATGAGTTTAATCCTAGCACTCTGGGAGGCTGAGGCAGAAGGATCATAAGTTCAAGCCCGGCCTAAGTAACCTCGTGAGTAGGTAAGATCTTGTCTCAAAAGTAAAACTAAAAACATGCTGTGTCGCTCCATATCAAGGCCCTGGATTAGTCCCCAGTAGCACACACACACATGCATGCACACATGCACACCCATGGAGCAGGTTGCAGTCAGGGAGGATGTGGTCATGGTAGTGTCTCAGGTGAGAATAAACATCTGACTCACACAGAGATTCAGGTGTTGGTTATGATTTTTTTCTTCTTGTCTTTTTGAGACAGGGTTTCACCATGTAGTTCAGGCTGGCCTTGAGCTCACTTTGTAGCCCAGGCTGCTCTTGAGCTCCCAACAATCCTGAATGCTAGCATTACAGGAGTATGCTATCACCCCTGCAGTAGCAGTATGCTCCTGCTCCTACTGGCAGTTGTGATTTTTTAAAAATCAAGTTTGTTTATTTAATTTTTTGGTTATAATACTAACACAGGGAATTAGGAAGATGAAAATAATTAGCTCTTTGTGTTAGCAACTAAACCAATGACTGAACAGCCTGAGATATTTATCTCTCTCCAGTCCTGCTTTTTGTACTTTTCTAAAATATAATTGAGAACATAACATACCCTTAATTTCAGCCTCTTTTTCCCACTGAATTTTACCACACAAGATATTTCCCACAGCTTCCTGAGGTACTTTTAAGTTGCTGCTTAGTATCCCATTGTTAAAGGGATGCCAGGCATCATCTAAGTGTTCCAATCATTTTGACAGCTTCATATTTTCTTGTTCTTGTAATTAAAACCACAGTGGATATCACTGTTTATAGACTTCTATTTTAGATTCCTAGAAATCCAATCCCTGAGCCAAAAGCATGAGTTTTTAATGAAGAATTTCCTTACCACATTGTGAGGATCTTGTTGGCTTGCTGTAATAATTTGGCTCTAGGTGGTGACTTATTTTTAGCTTATGTTTAGAGAAGCCTTTGAGTCTTCAGAGGGGGACTCCGTCCATAGGCATGATGGTCATGGGGTGCTGGAGTTAGTAGAGATTTGAGGTCTGTATTTATTTGTTTATTGTGGTTCTAGATCCTGAACCCAGGGCCTTCACACTGAGCTACATCCTCACCTCTTTTAATTTTCTTTAATTTTGAGATGAGATCTTGATAAGTTGGCTAATTGCCTAACCTGAGTTTAAACCTTAAATCTTCCTGCTCAGTCTTCCGAAGTGCTGGCATTACAGATGTATGCTGTCACTTCTTGGGATCTTGTTTACAAAAACTGAGGACTTTGGAATGGCTATGTAAGGTCACCCAGGATACAGAGGCAGATGCTGTAGCATAGTTGGTTTCTGACTCCACATGAGAGGATTCTTTTTTCTCTGTGGATTGGGCACGAGAAGGGAGATGTAAGAGAGAGGAGCCTCCCAGGCTGGGGGAAAAGGAAGAGAAATAACATGGTGGTAATGGAGATAAGAGTGTGGGAAGTCTAAAGACCGGCAGGCCTGCAATCCCAGCACTGGGAAGGCCAGGCAGGAGGATCAAAAGTTCCAGGCTTGTCTGGATAATTTAGGAAGAACCAGTCTCAGAATAGAAAGAGGTTGGGGATGTAGCTCAGTGGAAAGGCCCTGCGTTCAATCCCCAGAATCTCAAAAGAAAGAAAGAAAGAAAGAAAGAAAGAAAGAAAGAAAGAAAGAAAGAAAGAAAAAAAGAAAGAAAGAAAAGAGAAAGAAGTGGAAAGTCCAGCTAGTTAGGGATGGATTGATGTAGCTAAATCCAAGACATTAAAGTTTTGTTTTGTTTGAGACTGGCTCTCACCATGCAGTTCAGGCTGGCCTTGAGCTCACTTTGTAGCCCCAACTGGTCTCAAACTGGAACGATCCTCCTGCCTCGGCCTCCCAGAGTGTTGGGATTGCAGGCATGCACCACTGCCCCCTGGCAAAGACACTAAATCATACAATGAGAGATAAGTCTGGAAAGATGCAGAATAAAAGTCTGTTCCTAACCCTGAATTTTAGTGAAATATAACAGTCGATGGTTTTTAGCACTGTAGCTTGACATGTATAGCATATTTGATCTTCGTGCCATCATTTACACACAGAAAAGACATCACACATCTAGCATGCTGCCTAATTGGGACTTGGAATTCAAATCTAGCAAAGCTCATGACTAACTGTTTCCCAAGCCAGAGCCAAGACACAGGTCAAAATTAGCAAGTAATCTGGACGCCAGCTCTACATTCCTGTTCATGCAGCACGATTTACAGACCTGGACTGTAGCGCTCTTCACGGTTTCAGTCTTGAAATAGTAAGGTTCATTGTTCTCCGCGTTCAGCTTCTTCAGGGAATGGGCCAGCGCCTCCTGCAGCTCGGAGCTGTCCACAGATATGCGTGTGGGGCAGCCAGGGCAGATCCGGACAGGAGGCTCCACAAAATCCAGCCCTGAAAGAATCCGATTTTAAGTTAGCTCGTGCACGGGAGAAGCAGCCTCCCATCCTATCTGTCCCTCGCGAGACCTGGTGTCCTCTTTGATAGAGTGCCACACTGTCCAAGCCCAGCGGCCAGCAGGGGAAGGTTGTCTGTGTGACCCTCGCTTCCTGTCTCCCCTCTTTGCCCTCTGCAGAGCTCGGTGTGTTTTGACTAAAAGGTGCTGGGGATTAGTCGATGTGCTAAATTTTTTCCTGAGTTTTTGCATCTTTGAGGGAAACTGTAAAAAGCCATGCTTGATTTCAGAGTGTGACTTTAATGGAAAATGTCTCAGTCTTGTGACTCTGCTTCTCCTCATGGGATGGGCTCAATATAAGAGCCAACTCTTTTTATAAGAAATGCTAATTTGACCAAAAACGGGTACTGTCTCCCTCTTCTTTCATTATAACATGAAGGAAAAAACCTAAGTAATGAGGAGGATTTTTTTTTCTGAGCTGTTAAAAACAAGACACAATTTTTTCTAATTTACAGCACCAGATTTAAGAACAACTTGCACATAAGGGAGACCCACTGGTGCTGTCCCTGAAAGCCAGCTTTGCCCACCGAACACATGTTTTGTTTCTGCCACCGTGTTTCCCCTGGTCACTTGCAGAGTGGTCACGGCTGGGCAGGAAAGGGCGCCGAGTTCTCAGCAAGGCCCATGGGCTGCAGAGGCCTTGTATGTTACCATGGGAACGAAGGTGTGGTTTATCCCAGACCCCTGCATCACTGCTGGGACCTCAATGTGTGTTATCACTCACCTGGGTAGAGTTCACAGCTCTGTGAGAAGGATCCGAGTTTTTGTTGATGGTTCATGAATGCATTATCTACACATTCACCCACGTCCTGGGTTTTAAAAAGCATAAGTTAAAAACACTTGTGGGAATCTTTTTTAACCAGGGATCGAACTCACAATCTCACACCTGCTGGGCAGGTGCTTGAGCCACTGAGCTAAACCCCTGGCTCATTTGTAAGAACCTTAAACGGCTAGTAAAACTGAAAGCAAACTGCAGCTGAATGTAGCGGTTTCTGCTTGTCATCCCAGAACTCAGAAAGTTGAGGCCAGATGACTGCAAGTCCAAGGCAAGCCAAAAAGCTTAAAAAGTGAAACACGTCCACTTTCTACATCCCGTCGTAGAGGAAGATGAAATAAAACAATGTGACCGGGAAAGGGAAAATAAGAAACAGGAGTAGAATCAATAACAAAACAAATACATGCGTTTGAGAAAACATGAAATAACATAAAGGTAGAGGTGAGGTAGGATAGAATCAAGAAGCATAAAGAAGGCAGTATCAGGTACATGAATGTAAACAGAAAAAGCTGTGGTGAGAAAATTTTAAAGTTTAATTGTAAATCCAACACAGGGCAAATGGATAAAGAAGAAATAAGATCACGGAAGACTTTTATATGATACAAGAGCTTTTAAATGATACGTTCATGAGTATCCCACAAATATTTGTAAATGTTTTTACATTAGATCACAAAAAGTTAAATGAATTTTGCAAAGTAATGATATAGGCTATGTTCTCTGACCTCAACACCAAGAAGAAAAAAGCTCTTAAAAATTATAATATAAATTTAAACAAAACGACTCCCCTCCCCAAACCTAAATACTAAGTACAAACACATTTGCCTAAACAGCTAAATTCTCCTTGGACAAGGGAAAAGAGAAACAAAACAACAAAGAAGAGAATTCCACATAATGTTGTCAGATAGCATTCCGGGTTCATTCTTGGTTTTACGTGGTTTCATCACCAGGCCTACTTACTGATCTCAAGAAATTAGGAACAAAGTAAACAAGTAAAGCAAACGAGAGGAAACAATAAAGACAAGAGCAAAACTGCTCAAATAGAAAGCAGCGCTAACATCAGTTAAAGCACTCAAATGATTCTTTTTGGAGAAAGAAGAAACTCAAAATGTGTAAAACAGACAATATAGCAAAGCATGCAGATATACAGAAATCAAAGAATATTATGAACAAACAAGTGTGTGCTAGCATAAATCTCCAGAAAGGGACTCACTTCTGGAAAACCATTTTTTTCTGTCTTTTCTCTTGTGAGGCAGTCTCACTACGCAGTTCAGGCTGGCCCTGAGCTCACTTTGTAGCCCGGGTTTGCAATGATTCCCCTGCCTCAGCCTCCCAAATGCTGGGATTACAGGTGTGTGCCACCTGTATGTTCCCACGCCCAGCCTGGGAAACCATTAATGATCAATGTGATTTAAAATCAAGAGAAAGGGTCAGGGGTTTAGCTCAGAGGCCTAAGTGCCTGCTTGGCGAACATGAGGTTGTGAGTTTGATCCCTGGCATCAAAATAAATAAATCAATAAAATAAAATCAAGAGAATTTTTTTAATTTTGAAGAGAAAGAAACAGAAAAATCAAGAAGCAAACAATCAAAAACAACAACAAAACCAAAATGACAACAACAGCAGCAAAACTATAGCGATATAGATGATAGGAACTGAACAGTGATTGTTACACGGCATATTGTTATCTTCAAAATAGTTGCTCAGGTAAGAGAAAAGTTTTTGACTAAAGAAGAAACAGAAAATTCTATCATTTCTTTTAACGTCCCTCTCACTTCTCACTAAACAGTATAAACATTTTACAGATGAGTATGTTTAAAAGTTAAAGATATATTGTGTATTTTCAGACCATTTAAACTATGTCTGGATATAGAAAATAATGTCAAAGTATCCAATTCACTCTATAAAATTATAATTTGGATGCCAAAACCTAAAAACAACAGCAGCTACATGCAAACACACACAGAGAAAAGCTTGGCTAAATGAAAATATATAACAAAATTTTAGTCTAAAAAGGCTAAATATAGTATGTATGCCAGTTCTCAGATTAATTTGGTAAGTACAGCAACTCCAATTAATGTAACAATGTACAATTGTCTTATAACTTTAAGATTGATTTTGAAAATACAGACTTTAGAATTATAATCACATAGTTAAATTTAATATGTTATACCCGTTAAAATATGATAAAATTGGTACAAAAATAAAGAACAGAGCTTTTGTAAGAAACCATTGTGAGATCAGGTGTGGTGGTGCACACCTGTAATCTCAGCACTCAGGAGGCTGAGGCAGGAGGATCACTGTAAATTTGAGGCCAGCCTGGGCTACAAAGTGAGCTCAACTACATAGTGACACCCTGTCTCAAAAAAAAAAGAAGACCCAAAAATTATCATGGTTTATGTGGGTGGCCCCCAGGCCTCATGCATTTGCATTGTACATTTGTGATTGGTTCATTGTCTAGCACATGGATTGGGAGTGTGAGTGCTACAGTGGCCTAGGGGTGGGGCCAGGATGTGATGTAATGGCAGGAAGAAGGTGTGTCTTGCTCTCTCTTGCTGGTTTCTGCCTTGCTGTTTGCAGCCGCCATGAACTGCGGCCCCGCCATGCCACCCTGCCTTGGAGCCAACTGAGTACAGACTGAAACCTCCAAAAACTGTAAGAAATTGACCTTTCCTTTCCCAGCTTTGGTCATCAGATATTTTGTCTCAGCGACAAGTAAAAAATAACTAAGACAAAAATGAAAAACAAAAACAAAAACAAAAACATTGTGGGCAGCAGATTGTTGTAAGTTAATATAGAAGGGAAGAATATTAAGATGACCACTTATGCTCTTGAAAACTCAATTTAGATACCTCTAAGATACACCACAGATAGTTTTGGGTTGATTTAAAAGCTATATTTAAAAGTAATGACTATAGATCCTCTAGGGAAACATTAAGTGACTTCTGAGCAGATAGTGGAAGAATTTGAAAGGAAAATATGCATACACCTGGTCACCTCTAAATCTCTATTTTTGTCAGAAATACCATAAGGAAAACTGAAAGATAAAGAGTTAGATAAAACAGCAAAACACGGATACCTTTAACGGATCAATAGTCTTTCTCAGTTTACTAGCATTTGTCTCAAAGGAAAATGAACAACAGATGCAGACAACAATTCATAAATTTAACCTGTCTAACATATAAAAATATTACGGAGTCAGTGAATGCCTATGACTATAGTGTTTTTTTAAGAAAATTAAAACTAAAGATATTTTCATCTATGAAGTTAGCCATTTTTTTTTTAAAAAAGCACTCAGCTCTATTAGACATTGCTGATAGAATGTGAATGAATGCATTTTTATCATTTAACATATATATATGTAGTCTTAAAAGATTTAATATGATATGTATCTGTTATAAAAGTAGGACTTTATTCTGAAGGAAAAATACCAAATACAGAAATAGTTTTGTCATCAAGAGTTGAAGGATGGGGTACAGTACAGAGGAAGAGAGCTTTACTAGCATGCACGAGGCCTGGGTTCAATGCCCAGCAATGCAAAAGAAAGGGAAGTGGGGGATAGGATGCAAATTAATCACAACCTCCAAACAGAAAAAGTCACTGAGGAGTGTCTCACACCCCCATCCCAACCAACAAGAGGAACATACACCTTGATGTCTTTGGCTGTGTGGCTCAGTATCATTTTTTTCTATGTTCCTTCGTTATCTCGAAGTCTTTCCTCAGTCAAATTTCTTGGTTCATCTTAGAAATACATAATGATCCCATTCATCATAGGGAATTTGCACCTGTACATGATATATCTAGAGTCTTCTTTTTCTCTCATTCCCCTCCTTTTCCTCAATTCCTCTTCCTTTCCTTATTTATAAAAGCTTTGTTTCCATTTTTTCCTTCTTTTCTCGTTTTTTCTTTTCCTTTCCTTCCTTTCACCCTTTCCCCTCTCCCAAGTTCCCCTTCCCATTTGAACATTTTCTTCCTATTTCACAATATCTATTATATATTCTGTTCCTTATTTATACCTTCAGTTTATCACACCAGAGAAACAATATGGTATTTACATATATGTGTCTGATGTATTTCACTTAAGAGTACGGTCTCAAGGTGCATCCATTTACCTAGAAATGTCTCAGGCTTATCCTTATTTATGGCATAGTAGTACTCCACGGTGTTAGAAATTTTTAATAATATATTTCCGACACAGGAACACACACATAATAAACATCATTTTGTAAAGTTTTTTTGTTCATTTGTTGGTTGTTGTTGTTGTTTTGGTACTTGGAATCAAACTCAGGACCTCACATTTGCCAGGCATGTGCTGTGATACTGAGGTATATCCTCGGCCCTAAATGTCATTTTTTTGAGACAGGGTCTCTCTATGTAGCCTAGGCTGATATTGAACTCACTGTGTAACCCAGGGTGGCCTCCACTCACAGTGATTCTCCTGGCTCAGCCTCCTGAGTACTGGGATTACAGGTGTGAGCCATCACATCCAGCAATAAATATTGTTTTAAAGTATAGGAAGAGCTACATTTCTAATACTCTAGTTTTGGAAAGAGGCTATGGGGGTAGCCCAGTAATTCTGAATTCTATTAGTGCATCTGATTCACTGAGAAGTTATGCCTGCAGTGAACTAACTGGGACCAATTAAATCAGAATGTTCAGGGAGAATACTTGGGAATGTCTTAACAACAACAACAACAACAACACTAGCCAGATGGCCTGGTGTGGTTGTGCACACTTGTAATCCCAGCACTCTGAGAGGCTGAGGCAAGAGGACTGCAAGTTTGAACCCAACCCAAGAAATTTAGTAACTTAGCAAGACCTTGTCTCAAAGTTAAAAAAAAATTTAAAAGCCTGGGCCTAAGTAGCGAGGCGATTTTAACGATCTGCATGGGTTGAGAACTACTTACCAAACCTTTTAAATCCTGGCTTTTAATTTGACTTTCCTGAGAATTGCACTTTGCATGTACGTGTTGGCTGTTTTTCAGAGCAATGTCTATTCGAGTTCCCTTGCCCATTTTTGAGTTGACTGGATTGTCTTTCTGTTGTTAAGCTGCAAGGGTCCTACACCTACTTGCATATTAAACCCTTTTCAGAGATATGATTTAAGACATTTTCTTTCATTTTGTGGATTGTCTTTTTACTCTCTTGGTTGTTTCCTTTTTGCTTCTTTCCTCAAGTATAAAATGAATGCACACTTAATTAGAAAATGTGAAAGTACAGAGGAATTCCAAAAAGTATTCAACATTGCAAAAAATACCTAAAATTTCAACTGAAAGTTAGCTATACTTTATATTTTGGCATATTTGTTTTCCATCACTTTGTATGTTTACAGTTACTTATACTTTCTACATGTGTATGAATCTGGCTGAATCTACAAGTACTTTTTTTGTTTTTTATTTAACATATCATAACCGTTTGATTATGTCATTGACAACTCTGTAAACAACATTCTAATGTATGGATATACTGCAATTTACCTAACCACTCCCTAAAGTTGCCTATGTAACTGTTAAAATCGCACTAAGCAGGCATGGTGATGTCCATTTGTAATTCCAGCCAGTTTGGGAGGCTGAGACAGATTGGCAAGTTCCATGCCAGCCTGTGCAAAAAGTGAGACCTTATTTAAAAATAAACAGGTTAACAAAGGCTGAGCATATAGACTAGGGCACTTGCTTAGCATGTGTAAGGCCCTGGCTCAATCCCCAGTACTTCTAAAACCAACCAACCAAATAATCAACAACAAATATGCCAAAATTAGTATCTTGTGGACGAGAGTACCCACCTCCAGGAATATTCTGGAATCTTAGAAGCAGAGTCACTGGATTAAAGACCTGCAGCAAATCCTTGGGTGAAGTAGTCTTTGTTAAAATGCAAATATTCCTGGAAAGGCCTTTGTCACCTGCACAGTCACTACCTGCTGCCTCCTGGAGCGACACCATTTAACATCACTATGGTTGACAACACAAGTGAACCAAAAGAGGATAGATTCCGTGTGTTTGTGAGAGGGAAGAAGAGAAGAAGAAGAGTTGGAAAGCAAGTGGAAAGAAGTCTAAAGGGAGGAACTGTCCTGCAGAGGTGGAGGACACTGTGAGGACGTGGATCCTACAGGGAAGAAGAGGCGGCAGGGCAGTGGGAGATCAAGACAAGCGTGACAATTTCACCATTTATCTCCGGCCACCCCTAGTCCTTGCAACACTGTAAATACTCACTGCTGGAAATACAGATCTTTGACTGAGTGACCAGTGATGTGAGCTTCAAGTGAAAGTGTGCACCAGTAACCAAATGTCATCCAAATTTTAGTGATGGTCTTCCCGCCTAGTTTGACCATGTCTATGCCTATAAGCACCATAAACACAATGCTGAGACCTTTAGGATTAAGCTTGTGCCTACTTACACCGTTCGGGAAGAACTTGCACTCTGGACTTAAGAGCTGAAATTTCCCCTTGGAACAATTCGTTTGTAGAATCGAGTAGGTGATTTTATAGTTCCATCCATTTACCACCTGCAAAAATTTCGGATTGAGTATTTAAAGTACCTCTTAAACGTCATTTGGAGCCATATGACAACAATATAGTTACCATAGTTGTTTAACTAATTACTGGCAATATAGCCTATGTTAGACTGCAGGAAAGAAATGCTTCATTAAATTCCATGAAATAAAAACGCTTTTCTATATGAGAAAACTTTGGGGTCATCTTTAAGGTTCTCAGAACATGAGCTGGTGAGGTTTCTCCTGTGAGTGGCTCCACTCTGATGGCTATAAATGAATATAACTGAGTGAAACATGCATCTTGCCTCCAAGTCACAAGATCTGTTAATTCAGAGATGGTTCTGACCAAAGTGAATCACTCCTAAGAGGCTGACATACGAGGGACCCAGTCAACCATCAGAAAGGCATGGTGCACTAAGCCAAGACAAAGCCCAGATTATTATCATCTATTTTTTCCACCCCCCGATGATAGGGCAACTGTAATTTAAACAGTACCCAGACAGTCAAGCCAACTCTTTTAGATGCAGTTTAGTATTGGGGACCGTGCTTACCTTATGATAGCAAAATGATGAAACAGATTTTCACAATCTCCCCACAAAATGGCAATAGAGATTTCTTAAAGCCCCAAAGCCAGAATGACTTTTCCACTTCTCCATCTCCAGGAAGATGTAACGTGGGCACTCGGTCATTAGAAACACCCTTCAAAGGAAGAGAGTACGACTACCCACCTCTCTGCCTTTCCTTATCACACAACCCTATGTGCTTTGACCACGGGGAAACCCTTCTCCAGCTGAGCTATTTACAGAACACGTGGACAAGTTTCTCTCTGCCAGATGTGCAAACCTGCATGTTCCTTCCACGGCTGCTTCAGACCCATCTCCCAGGAGTGTTTAAAGTACCTGACACCATGCAGTCGTTATTTTAAAAGTAGTAAAGCATCTTTAGTTATAAGAGCAATGCTTGAGTTTATCCTTTTAGAAAACCATGAAGCATTACAGGAAGGTATGTAGGGTAGTGTAATAGATAACAGGCGACTGGTGTCTCATCACCTTGTCTTCCTCTTCATTATTGAGTGTGCAGGGTTAAGTGTAAAGATATGACAAATTTAAGTGAAAGGCACAAACCTGTATCTGGGCTGATTTCACTTCTCCAAGAGTGAAGAGGTAGGCATGCCCGGTGTTGTTGTTGAAGTGTTGGATGCCGTGCGACAGAATGGGCTTCAGCTCGGGGCTCTCGATGGAAATGGGGTGCGGACAGCCCACGCAGGCGTACTCAGTGGTCACCACAGGGCCTGCCGCTTAACGAAGAGCAGGCAAAAAGGCAGAGTTAGCACCCAAAGCCAGCAAGCAGATACCTCATCTAACAGCCACGAAGATAACCAATTAACAAGTCTTCCAGGAAACCTTGTACAGATTACAAAGAAAGAGAATAAAGGATTGCATTTTAAAATTCAGAGGGAAAAAAAAATCACTCAGAATTTTTTTCTTTTTTATGATACTGGGGATTGAACTCACAACCTCATGCTTGGCAGGCAGGCACTTGTGCCACTGAGCTAAACTCCCAGCCCTCAAGAATGTTTTATATGTGCAACAAAGGGCATTATTTTAAATGTTTCTTATTTTTAGTTATAAAAGCAACACACGAATTTAGCCTTTCATAAGAATTTACAGTACTACACATGCCGGGACCTGGAGCACTGGGAAACCGAGCAACCCCTCCCCCTCTGCCTGTTTTGTTTCGTTGAGCTTCAGTATACAAGAAGGTGTGGACGGCTATTTTGAGGAGAACGGGAGACTCTACGACAGCTGTTAGTGACTTCCCTATTGTATGGCTTTGAAGACTTAAAACGCCTTCCTCATTCAGTTCAGATCAGTTTTATACTATGTTGTTTTGTTTGAATTCTCTGTATGCGAAGACACGGACAACTATTTGGAAGAAAACAAGAGACAATATGATAGACAATGAAGATCTCAGGTCGTCTAGCTTTGAAATTTATATCTCTTACATTGCTTTCTTATGTCCTATTTTGTTCTGTTTTGTTGTGTTTAATTTTACCCCCTTAAAATAAAAATAAAAAAAGAATTTACAGTAGTACAGATATATCACTATTTACTCTCCAGTGTTAATGGAATTTCCTTGAAGCTCGAGGCTTCAAGCATATTCAGCATATTTTGTATCAATCTGATGTGATGAACATGCCCTTTTGCTACTAGAGAAATAAAAACAGCCCAAAGACATATTTGTTTTGCAATTTTTCATGTCACACAGCATTGATAATATTTGTTAGATTTTTCTGTGAGGGTTTCATCACCTAAAATAAACCATCAGTGGAAGGAAAATGCCAGACAGTGGTGTATCTGGCAGGAGGAACTACTCTGTGTTTTCTTTTCTTTTTTTCTTTCCTTTTTTGAGAGGAGGGTGTCCCGGGAATCGAACTCATGACTGCATTTGCCGGGTAGACGCTGGTGCTGCTGAGCTCTAACCCTAGCTCCTGCCCTGAGTTTTCATGTGAGCTGTACTGAGGCAAAGGCAGTGTAAGGCAGTGCAATGTGAAGAGGAGAAACTGGCTAACCCCAAGCTCTGCCCTCGAAGCTTGCATCTGCCCTAATGGGCCAGGCGCTGCACTGGGCGATGTGGAAGCCCTAATCCTTAGCAACGGTCACTGCTCTGTGGGAAGGGACAGCTGGTGGGAGAGACCGAACTGCAGCCTGGTCACCTCGATAGAATTCAGCGAGATCTTGGAAAGACAGGAGCCCAGTGTGTGGTTAGAGAAGGCTAAGAAAATGGCCCAGATGCCTGAGTTAAGAAGGATGGAGGTGACAGAGGCATGGACACTAAGGCATGGACATATTTTTATTAAAGCTTTGGGTACCGGCAGTAGAGTCAGTGCTACGCTGTTGGGCCGTGGCCTCTCTCTGGGCCAGGAACTGCTGGGTCCAGAGGTTACTAGATATTGGAGGGTCATGGGCATCTCGTCGTGGCCTCCTCCCCAGGGACATGCACACCCTCGACATCCCATGGTGTTCAGGGACCCTCTGGAGCAGATGCAGAATGGCCTGCTGTACATGACGGGCATCAGAAAAGGGATTCTGATAAAGGACTTTGTGATAAATTACCAACTCGTGCTTATAAGGGGGAGCCTAACCTGCTGGTCAGTAGGGGGCAGTGCACAGGAAGGGGGCTGTGCTGCAGTGAGCTGCATGCCTGGGGACAGAGAACAGACCTCAGGGTCTTCTCAGCGAGGGGATATAAAGATGCAAATGCAATCAGTAGACTGCCATGTGGGACAGCCCTGCCCCTCGGTGATGGGCTGCCTTTCAAATGGGTAAGTCAGTCAAGTGGGACCGGGCTTTGCTGTGGAGGGTGGGTCAGTGGCTCCTTCTGGCTTCTTCCAGGTGATCAATACCTATTTAGAGTACCAATCCTGATGTTTATCCTTAGAGTATAGGTGCATTTATTTTATCTTTGGGACATTCTTTTTATTATTATTATTATTTTTTGAGACAGGCTGGTCTCAAAATTGCCACCTGCAAGCCCCCTGAGTAGTTGGGATTACAGGTGTACATTATCACACCAAGCTTCTACAGAGCCTTTTTAAAAATCAAAATAAATATTTTTAAACCGGACTCTGTGGTACACATCTATAATCCCAGCACTCGGGAGACAGGCAGGAGGATCACTGGGAGTTTGAGGCCAGCCTGGGCTACATAGTGAGTCCAAGGCCAACCTGAACCATATAAGGAAACCCTGACCGAAAAAGACCAAAAATAAAATAAATTGAGATTTTTAATCACTTGTGATCTCTTCTCTGTCTTAGACTGTTTTTCTTTTCACACTGCCTCTCATAAGACCCACAACTCTAGGGACAGGACTTTGAGGGCTCCACAAAGATAACTGAGGCCAGAACACCTAACACTGGGCACCATGGTGACGCACGATGGTGGCGCTGATGATTCAAGCCTCACACACTGGAACTCTGCTGGCAGAAGGCCAGTTCCAGGAGGCTTCCGTGACCACCAGTGCCAGGATTTGCCAGTGCCTCTGTACTTGGCAGAGCTAACAGGAGCCATATCTTTCATGAGCCACTTCCTAATTATATTTGTAAGGAATTTCATTCATTGAGGATCTACTGCACCAAATCTGCTACCATGTGAGTTTCTGGGTAAATCACTTAACTGCTCTGGGGGTCAGTTTGCTTAACAGAAAACAGGGATAGTGAAGCTGGGTGTGGTGGTGCACACCTATAATTCCAAACTCTAGAGGGCTGAGGCTGGAGAGTCACAAATTCAAGCCCAGCCTGGGCAATTTAGTGATTTAGGGAGACCTTCCCTTCTCTAAACAGAAACTAAAAAGGGGTTGGAGACACAGTTCAGGGAGGAGGCCGGCATTCAATCTCCGGTACCACAAGAAGTGTGTGTGTGGGGGGAGACTAATATTAATATCTACCTAATATTAGTATCTACCTAATATTAATATTTACCACATAGGATTGGGAGGATTGAACAAGTACATGTAAAGTGCACAGATCCAGGACTGGCACATAGGTGCTTAGTACATGCTAATTATTTTAATGTAGATTTTCATTAGCATATTATGATTGCTAGGGGTTGTGCCTTTAGGTGAATGTCTCCGCAGTTTTAGAGCACACTATCAAGGGAGGAGTATTGTACTCCCTCCTTCTAAAGAAAGAAAAGTGAAAGAAAAAGGAGCCCTGAATGACTGAAGGCCAGGGCTGACCCCTGGCCTAGGGGCTCTTGTGTGGATGCTGTCTACAAGACAGGCTGGGGCCTTCTCATGTATCAGGAGGCCCCCGGTTCAGGCCTGACACATGGGGCACGAGATGGGGCAGCCCCACCTGTGTCTCTGTGTACCCCAACACTGTGCTGTACCCTCTGCCGGGGGGCCGCAGCCCACTGGAAGCTGTTTCTGGTACCTAGAAACAGTGACTTCCTGTCTCCACCTGACAGTCACACCAGCTACCTGGAACAATGTTGCAGGTCTGGGTGGCCACAGTGAAACTGCCGTTTCTCCTCTTCCCCACGGTTGCTGTGCATTCTCCAGTGGCCTAAGAGAGAAGAAAGAGGACATTGATTCTAATCTTTCTAGGGAGAAGGCCACCTTGTACCATTGCTAAATACGACTTTCTTTACAATGAAAGAGAAAAAGTGAATGGTTTTTTTTCCTAAAAAAAAGTTTTAGAATGAATATTTTTGTAGTCTAGTGACTCTTTTTTTTTTTTAAAGCCACCAATACTCATGAGGCAGCAAAGGAGAGGCACTGAAAATGGTAAGTTCTTAACCGTCAGTGTTTGTTTAGAGCTCTGGAAATACTCTTCCAGAGAATATTTCTTCCAGATACTTCTTCATCCCAATGTGCGCAGTACCTTGGAACCTGCCTGCTAAACTCCGCACTTGGTCTGCTTCTCGATGTCAGTGGGTGAATACTGTTGGGATGACTTGAGTTTAATCCGTCAGACAGAGCGAGGAGGCAGCGCTGTCCGTCTCCAGCTCTGCCCCTGGCTGGCTGTCCCTTCTGTTGGATCCTTTTGCCTCTCAGTGTCTCAGTTTAGACATCTCGTGAACCCCACCTAATTCACTGGGGTTTTGTGAAGAGTGAATGTGCAAATATGCACCGAACACCTACCAGAGTCCACCGTGCCGTAGACACTTAACAATCCACACCTGTCCTCTGCTATCATTGAGCTGTGGCCTTTATCCTCAGCACTGCAAATGGAAGCCAGGACCTCACGCATGCTAAGCAAGCCCTCTACCACCAAACCATACCCCTAGTTGGCCGTACAAAGTTTCCCAGGCTGGGCTTGAACCTGCAATTCTTCCTCCTCAGCCTCCTGAATAGCTATGTCACTAAACCTTACCTAAACAGTGTTCTGTTTTCCTGTCATGCTTTTGTCATACTCATTGGAGTATGACAAAGTGGCAGATAGTATTTCTTTGGGATAAAGCAATCTTTCATCGGCTTGGCCCTGAGAGACAGGCAGTGTGGGGTAGAGCTGCTAATTCTCCCTAGCCACCAGGTGAGATCGCTGAGGGCAGAGCCAGCCCCATAATCCTGCTCTCGTGACTTGGAGACCAGTGTCGTGTCTCAGCTGCACAACACAACACAAACAGTATGTGAGTGCTCTGGCATAAGAGGGGAATCCAGGAACTGCTAAAAGGCCTTCTCAGGCTATGCCATGCATGTTTTAAGCATCAGGTTGAGGTAGCCCTTTGTATAAGTGGTTTCATTTTATCCTCTGACAACCCAATGAGGTCCGTGCTCTCTTCCCTTTTGCGGGTAGAGCATCTACTCAGAGAGCCCAAGTTTGCTGGCCATCTCTCCACTGGCCAGAAGCAAAGGCAAGATATGTCCTCAGGCTTATGCAGCCAAAGCCACCCACATTCCCTTGTTAGATATTGAGCTGAGCCCAAATTTGATCTGTTGTCTTTCTGGGATCTGACTCACATGCTCTGGTTGGACTAGGGCTCCTTCTTGTGGAAGGGCGTTCACTATGTTTAACTGTGGGCTTTGCTATAATTTCTCTGTTTATATAAGAACACATATATCAAGCATCTGTCTTACCTGCGCATTTAAAGTTTTATGTGCAACTTTAATATAAAAGCTTAGCAATAATAATTATCCCTGTATGAGGAAAATGAAATCCACAGCTGCTGAATGGATATGGACAGTGTGATACATACACACAATGAAATTCTGCTCAACTATGGAAAGCATAAAATCCTGTCATTTCAGCAATCAGCATAGAACTGTGAAACACATTTAGTGAAATAAGCTGGGCACAGAAAGTTAAACACTGCAGAGTCTGACTCGAATGCAGAAACTAAAAAGGTTGACCTTAGAAGTTGAAGGATGAATGGTGGTCTCTGAGGCTGGGGAGAGCTGGGAAGGGAGGGTTGGGGAGAGGTTGATAAATAGGCTCTGAGTTACAGTTAGAAGGAAAAGGAAAAGGCTCTGGTTGGCTACTGCATAGAAGGCTGACTACAGATAACAACAGTGTACTACGTATTCCAAATACCTAGAAGAAAACATTTGAATGTTGGTATCACAAAGGAAGAATCAATGGCTGTTAGCTGGGGAGAACCAGGAAGGAGGCCATGCCCCACCTCCACAAGCCAGAGGTGCACAGGCTGGAGGAGAACACCACCACCCCCCACCCAGGAACTGGCTGATTCAAAGGAACACAGGCTGAGATGATAGCAATTGAAATAAAGAAACAACCTAATGCTTGTATTGTTTGATTGACTTTGCAAATGCCAAGCCCCTAGTCTGAGCAAGTGTTTAGAGGTTAACGATGCGCAATAGAGTAACTATTGTGGGTTTCCTACCGTCTTATTACTGTATTGTTTTGTTTCATTTTATTGTTGTTTTATTCCCTTTAAAATAATAAAAAAGAAAGAATCAATGTTTGATAGATAGAAATGTTTGACCTGATTTAAAACCTGAGAGTATACATCTATCAAAATGTCACATGGTGCCCCATTGATATCCACAATTCTTATGTCTTTATGCATCAGTTTCTAAAATTAATAAATTTGTGAAAATAAATCCAGCTTTCTGACGGCACACTTACAGCTTCCTCAGCGTCCCTATAGTCGCAATCCTGCCAGCTTTTGCCACTTTGAACGGAGCAGTTCCCTTCCTTGACTTCATACTTGAGAGAATAAAATACATCATCATTCACCTGAAAAACATAACCAAAGACATTTAGAGTTTATCCAACTGACCCAACAGCCAACAATTTGAGCGGATTCTGGCATATTATAAACATAGGTCTTGATTTGATTTGACTCAAATGAGAGCCAAATATTCATTAAAATATGAGAATTTACATCTTTATAAATATTTTCTTGGAAGGATATTTATTAAAATACTTTTATTTATTTTTTGTTTTGAGACAGGCTCACTAAGTTGACAAGATAGCCTTGAATTTATACTCCTGTTTCAGCCTTTCATGTAATTGGAATTATAGGTGTTCACCACTTTATCTAGCAACAAATATATATTTTTTAAAGGTTACAGAGCAGTATCCACAAGTCTAGACAGATATACAACAGTCTGTTAAAACATTTATTCCTCAGTGGTGAGATTTTAATATCTCTCACTTTCTTCTTTAAGTAAACATTACTAAATTGTTGGACTTTTCTTCCTAATGAACATATATTTCTTTTGCAGTCATAAAAGATAAACAAGTCTCTTTTTTAAAAAATGTTACCAGTTGTCTCCACGGTAGGATTAATTAATTGTGGGTGATTTTAGTTTATTTCCTTTTTTTTTCTTTTTTGGTAGGGGAGATCAAACTCACAACCTCATGCTTGCCCTGCAGGCATTTATGCTATGAGCTAAATCCCAGACCTTTCTTTGTTTTCTAAATTTTCTTTTTTCCCTTTCTTAAAACAAAAGTCACATGCCATACAATTTATCCACTCAAAGTGTGGGCTCAAATGTTTTTTACTATTTGCAACAATTGCCATAATTCTCAGTAGCCCATGTGATCAGCCCCCCCCCCCAAAAAAAAGAATTCCTGGGCCTGTTAACAGTTATTGGTATTTACTTCCCATCACCCCTTCCTTCAGCCCCTGACAGCCAATTACCCACTTGGTGAGTTCATCTACCACGTACCTCTCATCAAGGGAATCATGCAATGTGCAGTCCTTGTATCTAACTTCCTATACTCTGTTTGCAAAGTTTAGCCTTGAAGGTTGTAGAATATAGATTTATCAGCACTTCATTCCTTTTTCGGGGGTGATCTAGATTTTCTAAAATGTCATGCATAAGCGTTAAGGGTGCCCACTTCTCAGAAGCAGAATCCTGGGATGTGAACAGTGAGGGACCTGGGAGGGACGCCGTCCAGATCCTCGCTTAGTAACCGGCAGTCCTTGAGTGATCTGGGGCCTGGCTTCCGTGTCTTATCCCCTCAGAAAGGCAGGACTAGCCCCATGCCCTTGCCTCCAGCTCCCTCAGAGCCTGCCTGGTCACAGTTTGCTAACCCAGGCCTATCGAAGGCTGACTGCAGGATTCCTTACATAACCACTCTGGATTGTGAAACATAATGGTTTGATTTTGCTTTCTGGGGAAAAAAAAATCAAAAACAAACATGCCTGCTTTTTTCCTCCCCCTTTTATCTTTATAAGTCATGCGGCTGGGTTTTTCCCTGCCATTTGCTTACTAACCCAAAGACATAGTCTCTTCATGTAAAATTGATTTAAACAAACTGTAAAAAAAAATTGCATTTCTTTAATTCATGCCTCCTGCCAGAGAGGAGAAAATTTTTTAAACCAACTAAAACCTTGCTACTAACTTTGATGAATTCAGACTTCATGGTAAATATTTTATCTGAGGCAGTAAAATCCTGCTCATCTCATTCCTGACTGCTTGTAGACACACAAAGAACTTCCTTCTGTTTAGGCTGTGGATATTTTTATTATTTTTATAGTTTAGTCTAGGGCCAGACACCCAGTGAATCCTCCTCCATCAGCCTGAATCCCACTCTGCCTAACTCCCATCAAATGTCTGTTTCAGTTCATCCTAAGATACTGTTTTGCTGACCACTCCAGAAGCCAATCTTGGCTGCTGGAAGATTGTCATACTCTGCTCTGTACCTGTAGGCCAAGGGTAGTAGATTTTTCCAAGAGCTATGTGCTAATAAAATTGGTTCTCTGGTACGTATTGATAGTGGTGGAGGGTGGGGGAAGAGAGAGAGAAAGAGAGAGAGAGAGAGAGAGAGAGAGAGAGAGAGAGAGAGAGAGAGAGAAGCACTGAGCTCCAAGTTAGTAGAAACCCCAAGGTTGCACAGAGCTCACTCACCGTCTTGGTGACCTCAGTTATGCGGACCAACACAAACTGGTTGCCACTTTGGTTCCTACTGTTGTACCTCGTCAGAGCAGCATCCATGGCCTCGAATACATCCTTGGCATTGCAGTCAGTCTCCTGGGAGTCTGGTTCCTGGGTGAAGCTAAGGAGCAGCCGGGAGCAGAGGAAAAGGATGGCAATTAGTTTCATGATTTAACAGTCTCCCTCTAGGTACAGAGGGATGGTTTCGTCAAGAATCAGGCACCAATTTGGGTGCTGATTTTAGCAGCCTCCAGCCTCTTATCTCTTCTGTCTTCTCTCTCTGCCCTGGTTCGATTGCCGCTGCTAGACGCTATTCATCCTCTTCCAGAAGGGCTAATGACTCTGCTGAGTTACCTCAGCAGGTTTTAGGCTAGAGCGTTACAACACTGGGGTTATTGACTTGATCCTTTGACTTTGGAAAGCATCAAAGAGCACAGAACACATTCCAAGAGGTTGCACAATCTTGTATAGCAAATGAGAACAAACTATAATCAAGAAGCAGAAAAAACTACCAGCTAGCTCTGTTATTCCCTGTGACTTTCCCAAAGCCATCAACGAAGATCACTGCATATGTGAACAATGCCACAGCAAGTCCAACGTGCAGACATGGCTCACATAATTCGTTTGCAGGACAGCCATCTGCATAGAAACCACTGCTATTATTTCTAGTGAGTGCCTGGGAAGTCTTAGCATCCAGTGAGTTCTAGGAGCTCCCCAATGACCTGAGCATAGCTGAAAATAAACTATAGACACCCTGGCTGGTCTCTGCCAAGCCAGCCTTTCTCTGCTCAGTTGTATTAGTTTTATGAAGAGAAATGCCCCAGTATTCAGGAGACAGAGAGCATGCATGAAAAAGAGATAGCTTAAACCAGCGATGGCAAACATTTTATTTATTTTTTAAAATCCATTTTATTTCCAAAGAGAAATAAAATTTCAAAACATGACAACCAGGGGGCAACAATGGTACAATGCACATTGTCATCCCAAAATCATTCACTCAGATCACAAGATATTGTCTGAACAATATCAGCACAGATCTTTCTCTTCAATGACCCCAGAGAAATCAGTCGTGTAACTATCTCAACCATCTATACACATATACATACACAAATGCATATATTGTTTCTTTCAGCTTCTCATACTAGTGAGACAATATGATGTTTATACATGTGTGTCTGTTTTATTTCACTTAAGAGTATGATCTTAAGTTTATCAAAAAATGCCAGCACTGAGATTAAGCCAGAATCTCCTGAGGTTTTAGTGTCAGAAAAACAACTCATTGGTTAGCATCTTTTATCCTGAAAGAAAAACAAGTAGCATGCCTGCAATAGGTCCACCACCACTGGCCTAAACCATCAGACTATTTGCAGAGACAGGCCTAGGGATAGTTAAAATGATCAGCAAATGCTTGCCTTTAAGTGCTACGAAGAACAGGAAGATCAGGAAAAGTGAGGTGGGGTAAAATGAAAGGTTTTCTTCCATGGGGTCTCCAGTCTACCTGAGAGGTGCTGGGGAAGGGGGCTCAGTGCAGGCTGTGGTGGTCTGGTCATGGTATGGCAGGAACGTGTGCTTGGCAGCCTGGATTCAAGTCTGACTCTGCTGCTTAACTGCTGGGCAACCCCAAGTGAGTCAGCCTCACATGACCTTCTTATGCTCAAGTTTTCACTTGTATTTTTTATTTTGTTTTGTTTTGTTTTTTTGGTACCAAGAGTTGAGCTCAGGACCTTGCGCTTGCCAGGCAATCACTTTTGTTGCTGAGCTACATCTCTGGCCTCCTCACTTGTAAAATGTCAAAAATCATATTATCTTCACGGGGTTGTTTTGAGGAGTGACAGAGGTAATTTATGTTCAGGGCCTGGTAATTCATTCTTACAAGCTATGTCTAATATTAGAAGGGAATGGTTAGGAATCCCTGACTTAATGAAGTAGCTCCAAGTGCATGTAATGGTAGAAGGCAGATTCTAACGGGGGAAAATTATAGGGAAAGGGGGGGGTAATTAAAGGCGGCAGATACTTGGGTAAGGTCCTGGTTTAGAGGCAGGCACACCTGGAGAAACTGAGAGTTGAGGGAGTGAGGAAGGAACAGTGTGTTCCGTGCAGAGGGAGCTGTGAGGTAGGAGATTAGGGCTGGTGTAAACTGGAAGGAAATGTGCCAGAAGCCAGAGTGGCAGAGAATGTACAGAACACAGGACTCGAATGACTCCAGGCTTAAGGCTTTTGGGCACCATTCACTGGACCAATCAGGAAACCCTATCCCTAGTCCTTCCTTCAGGGGTATTCATGGGACCAATCAGAAGATGCTATCCTTAATCCTTCATTTAGATCTGGACACAACCAATCAAAAGGCACTGCTCCTTATCCTCATCTGGCATGAGGCTGAAATGGTTTTTCAGTGGGACAACCGTCCCCTTATCATAGTTACATGAGATGAGGCCAGCCAGGGTATATTTTGGATACCAAGGGCTCTTTTCTCTTTACTCATGGGGGGACCACACTGAACCTTCCTTGCCACCTGGCTCCTGCCCTGCGGGAATGGTATCATTTTGCCTTCAGCAAATCTGTACCCCTGCCGTCTTTACAATCTGTCTTATCCACTTGTTCGCTCAGGACACCAGAGTCCTGGAAAGAAGCTGCTAGAGTCCCTGATCGTCACAGAGGTTCAAGTGAGAATTCAGAGCTGACTGGGCCTGTGCAGTTAGGCAGTGTAGTGAAGAGGAAATAATGTAGTCTTGGAGGAGGCCCGCTGAGGATCTAATCCCAGTCCTTCCGTGTACGGACTGTGAGATTGGAGGCAAGTCCCAAGCTTCTTTAATTCGCATTATTCTTCTTTAAACATGGCTGTTGAGGTGGCCCAGCTTCCCTTCTTCCCTGGAGTATGTGGAGACTATGCCAGATCTTCCTTGTGTTAGATGTGGTCATTGCCAGCGTGCTGGGAATGTAAGGGATGCCTGTTACTTCCAGGCTGGGGCCCTCAGAACCACTTTCTCTGTTCTCCACTCTCTCCCTGTGGGGGTCAGTTGCAGAGGATCCAGGAGGAAATCCTGAGGCTAAGGACCAGGAAGAGCCACAAGACAGAAGGAGCCTAGGACCCTGGCTCCTCCTGGGATGGTCACCGTTAGTGACTCACACGAAAGCCAACCTGTCGGTGTCGCTCCCGGCCGGCAGGAAAGAACACCCGACAGATTCTGACGGTGTGCAACCTTGTCTTTATTTGTCTCCGCGTGGGCCGCGCGAGGCCTCTGCTCTGCCACCAGTCCTTTCTCACCGGTGGACTTCCTCTATCTCTCCCCGCCGGGAGGGTCACACATACATATATATGGACTCATCATCCAATAGGGCAACAGCAAGCAATGCAAGCTGATTGGTCATCGTCATTGGTTGCTAGGTAGACTAATCTATTGCGCGGGCTGTTTACGTCGCCAGGGCAATCAGGGGACAGGAAGCAGGCGCCATCTTGGCTCACTCGATGGGAGGGGTAATCTAGCTCAGGCTTTGCTCTTTCCTACAGGCCTCACGTCCGCCAAGTAAGGCGACCGGGCTCGGCCGCGGCTCCCAACACCAACCAAATTCTGTGTCATTAAGACCCGGAGATTGTTTGTTAGGGCAGCTGTCCTACCTCCATCCAATGGTATTACTTATATAAGAGGGTTGTTGGTAAACATTAAATCATAAAACATGAAAATCCATACATGTTTACCATATCGATTCAATAAATGAACATTCTTGAACACTTACTCTATGGTAGGCATTTTAATGAGTAAAACAGTCAGGATCTATGCTGACATACTGGGAATAAAGAAATGGAAATAATTAATAAATATTTCTGGTCTTTACGTCAAGAATGGAAGTACCATTGAGATAAGAAGCTATGTAAGAAAGGAAAAGAAATTCTCAGGGGAAGAGTGAAGATTTTGGAGCTTAGATGTTTGGCTAAACAGTCACATCCCTTTTGATAAGACACCTGCAAATAAACATTCACATACCCATTAGCCCTCATGACCTGAAAATACCAGAAAAATACCCAGCAATGGCTTGTTGTGTGAAATGTCTAGTAGGTTGAAAATTCCCTAGGGTGAGTATACATTATTTTTTTACTAATTTATTTACTGCAGCAACTGTATTTGCATAAGATTAATGCATTTAATTAAAATGGATTGCTTTCAATCCTTATGCTTTCTTTTATTGGTTTTAGTGTTTAAACATTTTCATTAGCTCACGTGTGCAGTATGTCACAGGGAGCTGGTGTGTGCGTGTGACACGCCTTCCTTTTCACTTCTCCTTGCCTTCTTCTCTCTCCCACCTCCCTCCACCCCTTGATCAATTCTTATGCTTTCATGAACTCAAATAATGTTTGTGAAAGTACTTTATAAATTATAAAACAAATGCTTTTAAGAGAATAATATACTTTGAGTTATGGATATCTCTCTCTCTCTCTCTCTCTCTCTCTCTCTCTCTCTCTCTCTCTTCTTCCTGGACTTCATCTTTCTCAAATCCTCATCAGACAGCTCACCTGGGGAAGAGCATCATTTGTCCAGGCAGTGTCCAGCTAGTGCCTGACCAGGATGGCCACAGTGGTTGTTTATGCACAGCGAGGGTTCTGATTGGTTGTTATATCTGGTCTGGCTGCTCAGTGGTTACATCACTGGTATTTAGAGTATCTAGCAACCATTGTGGCTGGAAGGTGGAAACAACCTGAAGTGTTACTAGCCTGTTTTTAATGCATGAACTCTGGGAAGAAGGGAAAGCAAAGAGGACTAGATTGTGGGGAAAGAATCTTTGGCACCAAGAAAATGAATAAAGCAAACTTATGTGAGACTGGAAAGAGACACTCCAGTCTGGGGAGAAGACAGAAGGATCTGGGTGTCCTGAGACAGAGGAGAACTTTCCCTACTTTCTAACTTTGCAGCCTGGAAGGCAGCAAATTCCCAAGCAGAAAATAACCATGGTGTGTATCTCTTCAGTTAATGTTCTCTGTGGTCTTTCAGAGACGCCTATGCTATCCCTAGTTTGATAGAGAAGTAGCAAATAAACCAGCTCAGTGATGAGAACATGCTAGAGAGTATCTCTCAACAGGGGCACCTGGTTGGCCAATGATCAAAAGTCATGTCAGGTATAGTGGTGCATGCTTGTGATCTCAGCACTCGGGAGGCTGAGGCAGGAGGATTGCTGGAAGTTCAAGGCCATCCTGAACTATATTCACATATTCTTGCCATTTGTCTATGTATTCGTATACCATCTCTTTCCCCCACCCACATTTGGCTGTACCCTGAGTATAAAAATAAAGGTTAATGGACTGCAATTTGCATTTATAGTGACCACATTTTATTCATGATTCTCATTCAGAACATTTCATTTTTTTCTTTTAAGGAGTCAGATTTTATTTTGAAGACTTGTATGCAAAAAAGTCTTCAAGTTGCGTGGGGAGCTCGCTCTTGAACTTCCCCGGACATGATGCGGAGGGGAGCGTGGACTGAGGGAAGGGCTGAAACTCTGGCGGTATGGAGTAGTTGTGGAATGGTAACAGGAAACGGGGAAAATTGGCTTCAGGCAGAGGAAGAACTTCACCTACTTTCAGTGGAGGCAGTCGGACAATATGTCCAGATTTTCTGCGATGGAAACGGAAGTGTCCTTTACCTGGCTCTTTTTCTCCTGCATGTCTATGTGATGGACCATGACCATGATCATGACCATGATGCTGGTGATCTTTGGGACCTTGGTAATCCTGTGGTGGATCACAGGGTCCAAAGTCATGGAAACCATGACCATGGGGATGGTGTCTATGGGGAGGGGGCCCATGAGGAGGATGCCCATGGGGATGGTGTCCATGGGGAGGGGGTCCATGAGGATGGTGTCCATGGGGAGGGGGCCCATGAGGAGGATGCTCATGGGGATGGTGTCCATGGGGAGGGGGTCCATGGGGATGGTGTCCATGGGGAGGGGGCCCATGAGGAGGATGTCCATGGGGAGGGTGCCCATGGGGAGGGGGTCCATGAGGACCAAAGTGGTGATGATGCCCTCCATGGTGTGGCAAATCACTGATGTTTTTATGATCCTGGTAAAAGACACAGAAAAGTGAAGTCATCATGCAACACCAAAGGAGAAGTTTGATATTTAGCACGGTTTAAGCAAATCACTCTCAGATGTCACGACTGTATACATGAATTATTCTTCTTAAAGAGGGAAACAAAAACATGTCTCAGACTTTTATCTGGCCAACTTGACCTTTAAAACAAAAACAAAAACTGCCATCTAACACCATCTCTATTTTTAAAAAGGATAATAGTTTGACAAAAGTGAAAATGATAACCTCAGAGCAAAGGATGGCCCTTTAAGTGACTACGTGTTACATTATGAAATTTTTTTTCATTATCCTTATTTTTCTTATTTCAACACAACATGGTAAAATGATATTAAGGAATGGCACCCATTCATAGAGCGATGTTTGAAAAATCAATGCCATAACTGATATTTCCAGCAGAGTTCTAAAGCTTGATGGTAAAACTTGCTTTTGCTCCTAGAGGAAGAACATTTAACCTCTCAACTCAAGACCTTTGCACTTGCCAGATAGGCATTTACACCACTGAGCCAAGTCCCCAGCCCTCTTTCCGTTTTCTTTTTTGTCTGATATAAAAATTACTTTGAGAAACAGTTCTGTGTATACTCATAAAATAATATAAAGATTCCTAAGGCAGATATAAAATATCATTTTGTGTCTTATTTTGTATACCTTTACATGATACATTTTTTTATTTTATGGAAAAAGGGTAAAATAAAATTTCATTAACAAAATAATAGGAGAATAACAATAGTTAATGCATTGTGTATTGTTATCTTTAAAATAGTTACTCAGGGTACAAGAGATGGGTATAAAAATGTCTCCAATCAGCCTGGCAATATAGCTCCAAATCACAAGTGCCTGCCTGACAAATATGAGGTCATGAGTTTGGCCCACAGTGCAAAAAAGATTTCTGCATTCAGTATTAGCACAAACCTTCCTTCATAATGCACTAAAAGCACCAACAGTACTGACTTGCACTGTTTCCTTTTCCGTACTGTCCTTTCTCCTTCACCCATTCTCATTCCTTTTTTGTTTTGAATAATTTCTTCCCACTTCAAAATATCTACTGTACATTTTAGACCATATTTACTCTTTCAGTTGCTCCTACCAGGGAGACAATCTGATGTTTACATATTTAAGTCTGATTTATTTCACTTATGAGTGTGGTCTCCAGTTGCATCCATTTACGAATAAAAGTCTCAAGTTTATCCTTCTTTATGGTGCAGCAGTACACCATTGCATGAAAATACCATATCTTTTTTATCCATTCCTTGGTCAATGGACATTTTAGGTGTTTCCAAGATTTAGCTATTACAAATTGTGCTGCTGTAATCATAGGTGCACATATATCACTGTGGCATGATGTTTTGAATTCTTTTGGGAAGATACCCAGAAGGGGAATAGCTAAGTTGGATGAGAACTCTAAATCCTAATTTTTTAGGAATCTCCATACTGATTTCCATAGTAGTCACGCCAGTAGATACTCCCACCAACAGTGGAAAAGGGTTCCTTTTCCCCCTACAGCATTTGTTATTGCTTTACTTCTTGATAATAGTCATTCTTTCTAGGGTGAGATGAAATCTCAGTGTTGTTTTAATTTGTATCTCTCAATTGACCAGTGATGTTGAATAATTTTTATTTTTATTTTTCATATCACGAATAGAGCTCAGGACCTTACCCTTGCCAGGCAGGCGCTAGTGTCTCTGAGTTATATGCCCAGCCCTGAAGATTTTTTAATATATTTATTTGCCATTTGTGTAAGTCATCTGAGAAGTGTGCATTCATCTCAGATGCCCTTTTTTTTTGGTACCAAGGATCGAACTCACAAGCTTCTGCCTGTCAGACAGGCACTTATACCACTGAGCTAAACCCCATCTGAGGATGCCCATTTTGTTTATGAACTCTGCCTATGCATACTTTACATGATAAATTTAAGACTTGTTTGTTCCCCTTATACTCTATGTCTAATGCTAAGTGTTCAGAATTACTAAATGTCAGCACTGAAGTTCTGATTACAATGACCATTTTCATATTCATTCAAAATTGATTGAGTTGTTTGTGATTTTATGTGTCTTCTAAATCCTACCTTTTCCCCAGTTTTGGAAATATTTCATATGTTTTGCACCATAACAGCAATTTCACTCCTTTCCCCAGAGACTGCTCTGCATGCATCTTTTCTCTGGGAATGTTATACAAACATACACATACACACCCAGCTGTAGGAATATGCTATGTGTGAAAATATCCCTCATGCTGCCATTGTTTAAGACAAAACATCCTCAACAACTCACCTCAAAGTTAAATACTTCACAGTCTACAAGAAGGTCTTTTGGGGTTTCCAATTCAGAAGGCTCTGTAGCATAGGACAAATCTGCTCTACAGAATCCAAAGACCTACAAAAGAGAAAGAAGCATGTTAGTGAGCATGTACATGGAGGGTGGGGGCTGTGTGTGTGCCCCTGGGCTGTGCATATGTGCCTACACATGTGTGCATGCATTTGCACATGCACGGAGTGTAAAAGTTCTCAGTCAGGGTTGTAAACTTCTAGGCCTTCAGGAAAGGAAGGTGAGTGTTAGAAAAATCAAGGTAATATTATCAGATATTATAAGGTAGCTCCATCAGGTATATATCAGTCTTTCCCAAGCAAAAATACTTGGGGAAGCACAGGGTTCAGAAAGTTCTTTACAAGTTTCCGTGCTTCTCACCCATGAGCAGTCACCAACACTGGGCTTCCCCACACATGGCAGGGAGTAATGAGCATCACTCTTGTTTTGCAGTCAGGCCAGCGTTTTTTGCGCTGAACACCTGAGTTGCCTGTGCCCACGTGGAGTGAAGAATGATGTAGAAGAAGGATTCATGTAGCTTTAACTAGCCAGAAAAGACTGTTAAACTTTGAGGCCCTGAGTACAATTCTGGCATCACACACACCTGTGTAAACCCAACTTCACCATTTACCAGTTACACAAAATTTCCAAAACTCGGTCTTTGTAAAATGAGGAGGAAACCTTCTCCCTGTAGGCTGTGAGAGGGCTGGGTAAGTGAAAGAAGTCTGTAAGGCACTTAGCACTGAGCTGCCTTCTCTGCAGCCCTCATAGCTCCCCTCTGGATTTGTGCTACCCACACAAGCGTATCTAAGACTTCGCTGGCGGTGGGAATGGGGGGTGGGAAGTGAGGTGTCTTTTGTGGTGGGCACTAAACAGGAATCTAGAACTGGTTCAGGTTAAAAATGTGAACAGTCAGAAAGGAAACGCTGAGTGCTTTCTTTCTTTTGGCCAAGAAGAAACCTCAGAAGATGTGTCAAACCTCAGAAAAATCCAACTTGGAATCCGAATTCAACTCTGGTGCTCTATACTTTCTAGTGAAGAGCTTTTAGGTATGTGGCTAAAATTCTAGGTCCCCCTTTTCTGGGGAAATGGAGGCAGAGGCCTCATCTCAGCAAGGTTGTCAGGAGACTCCTCTTAGTATTTATTACGGGTAGAGGTGTTTTGTAAACTGTACATCTCTATGGAAATGTCAGGTAATACCTCCAGTAGGTATGCAGGTCACCATGTAAATGGTTAGGAGAAAACCCCCCTGCACTGGGCATGAGAATAAGGATTTTATTTTATTTTATTTTTAAGGGTAGAAAAATTTATTGGAGAATAGGAACGGGGAATAGGAACAGGAGGTGTCCTAAATGGGTTGCCTGGAAGGATTTTAATCTTAGCGCAATTTTGAACATCTGTAAGACCTTCACTTGCTGAGCCTTGGTTACCTCCTCCGTGTTGAGTGGGATCTGTAGGTGTCCACAGGACCTAATGAATGACAGCACCTAGTACGTACAGAGTCTTAATAAAAGCCCTTATTAGTTTTACCTAAACCTTTTGGGTTAAAACCTCAGTTTTAAATTTAAATATATGTCACATATATTCTAAAATCATTCTCTCATGGTTTGTTTAATGGTTCTGTGCCTCAGTTTCCCAGCTGAAAGTCGGGGTTTAGGAAAAGCATCTTTGGGTGGTGGGAGTATTAATAAGTGGTCGTATGTGCAGAGTACTTAGTGGAGCCCCTGACTGGTAGGAAGGCTCTTTAGATGACAAGGATTTCACAGACACTTATTGTACTCACGTTAGGGCTTCTGTGGAATTGGTATGCAGAACAGTTCCTCACAGAGAAATCCACATAGTAATTGGTTCGTTCTCCTCCTTTCTAAAACAGAAAGATCAACACTTTTTCAGGAACAGAAAAAGTAGGAGGGGAAGCGGTAGATACCTACTGTCCAGTATGTGGTAAAACACTGTGAGAATTACAATAGCCAATGCGAGCTGTGTTTCTTAGTTTCTGCCTTTTGTTTTTGAGACAGGCTCTCCCTATGTAGTTCAGCCTGGCCTTGAACTCGCAGCGATCCTCTTGCCTCATGGGTTTCTGACTTTTAAAAACGTGTCACTTTCTAAGAAGAAAAAAAAAGACAAAGGGAAGAAGGACATAGATCTTTTGCAAATGAGAAGATCTAGAGGTGGCAGAAGGGTAAGAGGGGGGCTGAGGAGATGCCATGAAAAATCAAGATGTGTCATATCCCGGCACTAACTTCCCATGATGGATGCAATCATGTGTCACCAACATGAGCTAATAAAAAGATATATCACACAAGCCGGGCATGAAGGCACATGTCTGCAGTTCCAGCACTCTGGAGGCCTAGGCAGGAGGATTGTGAGCTGAAGCCCAGCCTGGACAATTTAATAAACTAGCAAAACCCTACCTCAAAATAAAAAATAAAATGAGCTAGAAACGTAGCTCAGTGAAAAGATCTTGGATTCAATCCCAGTGCCCTCCACCCCCTCACACACACACACACTAGTAATAAAGGAAAGAAAGAAGAGAAAAAAGCATCACAGAAGTAATGAGGGAAGTATCATTTTGCTGATAGGGTTCCTTATACTGACATAATCAGACACAGCATAAAAAGATTTTTCTTCCTCCAGCCCTCCTCGGTTCGATGTGTTTCTTTTTCTAGCCTTTCCCTACTTGCTTGTATACAATGAGATTTAAGTGTGAACATAACAGTGTATTTTTCTGTAACTCAGTTTCCCCCTCAATAACATGTCTTGAAACTGTTCCCAGTATGCACCTGTCTGAAACATCGGGGATTGAACTCAGGACCTCGTGCTTGGGGGGCAGGCACTTACACCACTGAGCTATACTCCTAGCCCCATCCTTTCTGCTAACTGCATTTATTCATCCTGCAGCTCGTGTGCACCATCCTTCACTTAACTTTGCATTTACAGAATGCAAGCAAACATCAAGTAGCTGCTCTATCCATCACTGTGTCCTGGTGGAGGTGCTGGAGTCCTGGGACAGTAAGGCTGGGGGCCATCTAACTCCTTAGAAAAACTGGGGGTGGCAAAGTTGCTTCTCTGAGCCTCGCTTTCTTTTCTTTTCTTGCTCTTTGTTCCCTGAGCCAGGGTCTCACTATGTACTCCAGATTGGCATTAAACTTAATATGGAACCCAGGTTTACCTCGAATTCATGGTGATCCTCCCACCTCAACCTCCAGACTGCCCGGATCACGGGCATGTGCTAACCACTTCTGGCTAAAGTTGCATGCTTTTTAATAATTCCTATAACCCTAAGACACTCTTATCTTTCCCTCCCTTTTCTTTTTTGGGTTTTTCTCTTCTCGGCCAGCTAGCCATTCCTCCTCCCCACAAAATAAAAAAACCCACGGAAGATGAGTTCTTGGGGACCTGCTGTGTCTCTCCCAATAGCGGCAAAGGTAGCAGCAATTTAAAAGACAGCCGACTGATTGAAGCAGGTGCAGAGAGGGACGCTCGGCCCACGTGGCCAGCAGCAGCCTGGCCTCAGACTCTAGCAGACGTTGACACAGACTTACCGCCACTATGACACGTGCTACTTGGTCCACTCTGAAAGAAGCAAAAGCCTCGTTCTCCTTTTTGTACTTGTCCAGAGCTTTTTCAGCTTGTGGTCTGTAGGGCTCAGTGTCCTCGAAGAAATCAAAGAGCACAGGACTGTCTTTGGTGTTGCTCAGGGCTGAGGAGACTAGAGGGAAGATGCAGTGTGGTGGTTACGGGGTCAGGGGTGGCAATGCCAGCCTCAGAGCTCACTGTCATTCGCATTGGCATGGTAGCAAGAATAACAACAGTTTCCTTTACAGATGGGCGAATTGTGGGAGGGAGAACCGGAGTAACTAGTTTAAGGACTTCTGATCTTTTCTTCTGATTTTACTGATGTCTGTGTTGAGACCCCCTATTCATAATCCCCTTCCTTCCCCCAAAAACAAACTGTTAATATTCTGTCCACTTATCTTAGATTTCTTTTAGTGAAACAGGATGTTCTTATTGCTTTCTGGCCAGCCCAGAACTTGAGATCTTCCTGCCTCAGCCTCCTTAGTGCAGGGGTTTTAGGAATGCACCACTATATCAGGTTCTGGTGCTACTATTTAAATGAATTCTTCACTTTTTTTTTTTTTTTACCAAGAAGGAAGAGAACCCTGAACATAAAGTTTTGTCCAGACAGAAAAAAATATATCTTAACCTTTCTTTTAAGTGATCTGCAGAAACTGTTTGATGTTTGACTATGTTTGACTATTGTGATTTGCTATTTAAAAAGGGTTTCTGTGGTACAGTTTTTGGAAAAAGTAGGTAAGAAGAGCATGGACTTTAGAATCAACAGTGCTGAGAAAAACACATGTCTTCATCGCCATGGGTGTGTTCCCAAGCCCACATCACTGAACTCCTCCAGTTTCAGTTATCTTATCTCTAAAATAGAAAGTGTCCAAATCTTTCCTTCACAGCCATGTGTGAGGTTAGATAATACAAAGTTTCTCTATAGGCTCCAACTTTTAAATGCTGAAGCCAGTCCTCAGTGAGTGCTAAATACTTTGTGTAGTATGCTGCATAGAGCATCTTATTAGCTCTAATGAAAACCCTGGGAGCTATATTATTATCATTATTATTATTATTACTATCATTATTTTACAAATGAGGAAAGCAGAAGGAAGTTAAGTAACTTGCTGCCAGGACCACAGAACTAATATATGATAATGCCGAGATTCAAACTCAGGTCGGAACCCAGAGCCTATATCCACAGTGATGCTATGTTCCTTCGTGTAAATGTCTAACTTTGTACGCTGAATTTCTTTAAAAGAAGCTGTCCCAGCAACAGGGCAACCTTATCTTCTCTATGCTCTCAGAAGAGTGACTAGAGTAGACCCTGCGAGGACAGGGACCCCCTCTGAAGTATATCATGGTGTTAGGTGACAATTACCACCATATGACTGAGTTTATATTAATCTGTAATTCATTAGCAACATAATAGAAGAACATACCAGAACTTGTGGTGCAGTTAAAGTCTTTCACCTTAAAATCCTGAGATTCTTTTGAATATCGCTTAGCTATTACCTTACACTGTCCAATCACCTGTAAAAGAGAGGGTTTGAGTTCTTGGCTTCTTCTGATGAGGGTGCATACAAGGGAACGGCCCCCACTGGCCATTGAAAATGGATCTGGGGTCTACTCCATCAAACCCCGTACTTTCTTAGTCTGTTTCTGTGTATCACACACAGAACATATTGTTCCTCTGCAGATCTATCCTCCCCCCTCCACCTATGGCAAAGAACTGGCATTCAGGTCCCACACCCAGCTCATCCAGCAAGATCCTGCTCCTCAAGAGAACGGATTCTTTTGGCCATTCCTGCTAATGAGATCAGGCTTCGCGGGATTCATAGACTCATAGCTTGTGAGGGTGGGAAATGATCTTGCAATTCATCTTCTCTAAGTCCCTCTTGGGAGTTTAGGGATGCTAGGTGCCTGGCCCAAGGACCCCCAAGTTGGTCATGCTGTCCTAAGAGACTTGCTTGTGTACCTTGCACAGGGTTCCCAGGAATGGCTCTCCAGAGAGTTCTAGTCAAAGTCAATGCAATCTCCACGAATCTCCATCGTAAGCTGCTCTTACCTCTGGGATCACTGGAGCCCGTGGCTCCCAGAGGAAGCAGAGTCGTGGAAAGAGGGTACAAACATGGGGTGGGGCAGGAGACTCGATTCCAGATTACTCACCATTTCAGATGGTCGTTTAGAAGCTGCTTCGCACTTCTTCCTAGGTAGGACCCAGCAGTCAGATTCCCGGACATCTAAGGCTAAATAGTACACTGTCGCAGGTCCCTGAGGAACATCAACACAGTGACAGCTGAATAGGGTGTGGAGCTCACTGGTTTCCCACGGGGCTTTTTTTTTTCTTTTTAATAAAACCGATTTATTTCTCCTAGAGAATTCTTGTTCTCCTCTAAATCTTTACAAACTTCCTACCTTTGTGTCACTCAATCTATTTATTGAATACATAGTTTCAAATAGTTTTATTTTCAATTTGTGCTTTTTAGTTGGTCCTTATGTTTCTTCTGCCTGCAGGTTTTGAAAATGCTGTTACCCAGTGGCAGTGTTGGTTTGCATGGGGGTGTGGAGGTCCAAGCCAAGAATTGTAAGTGGAGATCATCTCTAATCTCTGTCTCTGGTTGTGTCCTCTCACCTTGACCTACTTGTGAATTTAGATTTCTTACCTTGATTTTGATTTGCCCCAAACTGAATATAATCTTTTCTCTTACAAACCTCTTTAAACTTCCCTGTCATTGGCCGTTAATTAGTGTCTTGGGTTCTGGCTTTTCTTTTTTCCTTTTTGAGACAGGGTTTCACTATGCAGTTCAAACTGGCCTAGAACTCACTTTGTATTCCAGGCTGGCTTCAAACTCATAACAATTCTCCTGCCTCAGCCTCCGAGTGCTGGGATCACAGACATGGGCCACTACACCTGACTGGTTCTGGCTTTCAACATGTAAATGAATTTGCATTTCTTCCCTGTCTTGGCTCTGGCTACACAGAAACCAGGCTGGGAATGACCTTCCTTTTAAATGTTCTCTGTGCTTTAATTTCCATCAGCTGAGCCTGGGTCTCATTTCCTCATTCCTGAAGACAACAGATAGCTTCCTAGTGCGCATCCCTGTCACCTGCCTCATTCTCCCTGGACACGGTGGGTCCCCTCTCCACACCCACTCTTCCTGCTGCCACTGAGAGACAGCACAGTGGCCATTCACACCGTGTCCCACACCTGTGGCCGAGAACCTGGGATGAGTTTGAGGATTATGGACTCGCTTTCCTGAGCTAAACCCCTCTAGTGCTTCCTAGTCCCGGTTCTGCAGCGCCCTCCTTCCTCTCTAACACTCCCCAAAGTGTGAATGCTCTTGTGCCCTGTGTAGTAGCCCATGGCCTGGCCTCCCTGACTTCAGTTGTTCCACTATTTCTCCACGACCTCTCACTGCCCATCACTCCCATTCCCAACAGCTGTAAATCTCAGTAGAGACAGAAAGCTTGCTGGGCTTCCCAGTTTCTCTCCCACCATCACACTGGTCTCAGTCTCTCCAGAGCCCACACTATACTTCTTGACTCCCCTCCACTTACTCAGTTACTTCCTGGTACTCCTTTTCTCGTCTCTTCGCAGTTAGAAGCAATGCCTGAAATTTGCCTGGAAAAACCTTTCTCCACATCCCCTTCCTATTCAGATCTACCCACTCTTTACAACCCAGCTGAAGCCTTCTCCCATTCAGTCTTAATAGAGCTCCTTTCATTCAGTTGCTCCAATTTCTCCTCCACATACCCACTGAATGTATCCTCTCTTTTGTCTCTGTACATCAGTAGATTATTATATCCATGAAGGCAAGGCCTACAGTTAATTTTAGTTTCTCTCCTTCTCCTTCTCCCCCTTCTCCTTCTCTTCGTCCTCCTCTTCCTCCATCACCTCTCCCTTTTCCTCTCCCTTCCCTCTCCCTCCCCTAGGCAGAACTTGAATTCCTGGGCTCAAATGATGCTCCCACAAAGTACCAGGACTAATAGACCTGTGCCAACAAACCCAGTTTTCAGTTTTTCTACGTGCTTAGCACTCAACTGGGCTCAGGACAAATTCAAAGTATTCGCAGATTTATTCATAGTTAAGGACACACCAATCATAAAAATACTAGTCAATCTCAGGGCAGCCAAAGCAACTACCAGAAAGCCCTGATCAAAGCCATTGGTTGTGCCAAACAACAGGCTGAAGGGCTATAGTCACATTCACCTAGGACACGGCCTCCCCACTCAGTCCTGCCATTGGCGAATTCTCACCATTGTATCCAAGTGGGCATCAGCGACCCGCAGCAGCTGGAACAGATAGCCATTCCATCGCCCTTTATTGATCAGGTCTACCGCTTTCTCAGCCTCAGGCTCGACAGCAGAGCAATCGGTGCGACTCAGGGCCCAGGAATACCGCAGCGTGGTGACAAACAGTGCTGCAGTGAGCAGGCTCATGGTGCTGAGCCACCCCCTGCTATGGTCACCCATAGCCGAGAATTTAACCTGGATTTTCTAGAACACACATGCACACACAATGGATGGAATTTAAGTCTTTATACATTTTTGTTGTATAACTGCAGATGTTCACCTTGAACCCTGGTTCAAATATCTGTCAACAGACTGTAAATGATTAGTGGATCCCGAGGGTAGAAAGTTGAAACACACAGCTGGTGAGTGGTGAAACTGTGAGATGAACAAAGCTGATTATTTCTGGTAGAGAGCAAATCCAAAGTTTGTCATTGACCCTAAATACTGTCTGGGTGTGTGGGGGGGGGGAGGGGGACTTGGAGTAATTTGCCTCCATCTCCCTGTTTGCAGCCCTCTCTTTGGTTTATGGCAAGAAAACTCAGGTCAACACGACTACATTATTGAGGGAGACAATGAGTTAGAGTAACGTCCTAACGGGAGTTGATTAGTTGATTAGCCCCCACGCTGGCTACTCCTGGGGCTGAGGCAGGAAGATCTCAAGTGTGAAATCAGCAGGGCAGCTTAGCAAGACCCTGTCTCAAAATTAAAGACAAAAGGGGCCAAGAAATAGCTCAGTGGCAGAATAACCTTGGGGTTGATCCCCAGTACTAGAAAAAATAAAATAAAAATAAAATGAAAACAGACTTCAGGCAGAACTGATTCTTAGTTTCTTCATTTCTAACATGGGAATTGTCACTTTGGCCAGGCCTGTGTGATTTAAATAAGGAAACACACATATTACAATGGACACAATTCTTGCCAGAGTCAGCTCCACCTGAATGGTGTTATTTGTTGTTGTTGTTGCTGTTGGCTTTGGGAAGAGCTGGGGGTCCCTTCCATATCATCGAAGTTCCCCAAAACAGTTGGCTCATGTGTAAGAGGACAGTGGTAAGAGAAGGAGTCAAATAACTGGGTGTCCCTCGCACTGGAAGTGGGGCTCAGCATGGGGTACAGGGCTGGGATACAGACACCACCCTTCCAAAGAAACCAATACACTTATGTGGAATTTTCACACCAGCAGAGGCCAGCAGGCTCAGGAAGGACCAGAAGGAATCATCAAAGAGCTCCCTGGCAGCCCTTCCCTTCTGCACTGTATTTTCTGTACTGTGACGGTTTGCAGCGATGGTCCTTGGCCTTGGCTTCGTGTTAGAATCATCCAAGGAGTATCCAGGGCTTTTCTGAACAATTCAATCAGAGACTCCACGGTGGACCTGGGTCTTGGTAATTTTTAAATTTCCAGGTAATTCCAATGTATGCTCAAGATTGAGAAGCACTGAGCCTCTAGACAAAAAAGATTTGAGGAGAGAAAGAAAGCAGGGATAATTACATGAAAAGCAGATCCCATTTCCAAAGGTCACTGATGAAATTGGAACACATTTAAAATGGTGTTTGGCATTAAGTTTTTTAGTATCAGCAACACTGGATTTCAAATATCCAAATGGAACCACTCCAGCGTGACCCAGAATGACAGACAGGACTAGCAAGGAACCTTCTGGAAGTGTTGTGAAGGAGCTTTCACCCACAGAGGAAGGGAAGGCTATTGGTTAAAACAAAAATCAGTCTATATTTCAATGAGTTGAGTTCCTTAATTAAGCCTTTCTACAACTGCTATAGCAACCTCATCCGATTTGCAGTACCTGGATGAACCAGATGCTGGAGCAGGACAAGGGCCATGCTGGAGGTGCCACCAAGCAGGAGAATGAGCTTTGCACACAGTACTGTTGTTATGCCGAAATCTGAGTCCACTTGGGATCCATGCATCCTCTTTTCCTTGCTGTCCTGAGTCAAAGATTCAAGGCTGAGGGTGCCATTCCAGAAATTAAGGTGGCTTCATGTGAGACAGCCAGGTAGTTAGAGATGAGAGATGGGGCGGGCAGAGCAGAATAGACCATGAGCAGGAAAGATCTTCTTACCTAATGCTAAGCTGTGATATTTGGCATTTGGGGAGATTCCTGGACAGCCTGGAACCAGAGAATGTCCTCAGATGTGACCTAGGCAGTGGAAGCTTTTCACAAGATGGTTTATGGAGCAGACCTGAGTAGACAGATCTTTGTTTCTTTGGGCTCATTCAGGTGCTCAGGTGCTTCCTGGTGTCTTGACCATGTTATCAGAAAAAGCCAGCAAAAATTTTTTTATTCTTTCAAACTTTTTTACCCATAATAGAGTGCACTGTCTTTGCAAAAAATGTGGAAAAATATAAAGAAAATTCACCTGGAATTATACCATCTGGAGAAAAATTTAGTATAAAGTTTCTTCACAAACTTTTTTCTATTTGAATATATATATATATATATATATATATATATATATATAATATATTTTGTATCATTGGAATTTTCCTGTAGATTATTCTGTGGCTTATTGTCTTCACTGTTTATTTGCTTATAATCTCTATTATTGAAAATCATGTAAACTTTATAATTTTTTTTTTTTGTCTTTTTGAGACAGGGTCTCTCTATGCAGTTCAGGCTGGCCTTGAGCTCACTTTGTAGCCCAGGCTGGTTTCAAACTCGCAACGATCCTCCTACCTCAGCCTCCTCCTGAGTGCTGGGATTACCGGCATGAGCCACCACACTGGGCTTTGGTTTTTTTATAGGGTTTTAAATTTTATGTTATTTTAATTATACAACTTTTAACCATACACATAAACCCTGCACAAAATAAAACAAAAAGAATATTACAGATTGTTATAAAAATGGAGTCTTTCTCTGCTCACCCTCCAACAATTACCCAAAGGAAGAATTCTTTTTTTTCTTTTCTTCTTCTTTTTAAATTTTTTATCCTTAAAGTAAAATGGATTTGGAAAAAAAGAAAAATAAAACAAAGGAAGAACTTTTAACAGTCCCTGTTATATGTGGTTTAAACATCTTATTTTCTCTGAAGATTGTACTGTGAAGACTTTCCCACATGGCTAAGTATTCGTCAAAGGACTGAGAACATAGCTCCATGGCAGGGCACATGCTTAGCACGCGTGAAGCGCTGAGTTTGATTCTCAGCATTGCCAAGAAAAAAAAGTACTCTTCAGAAAGATTCTTTCCAGTGATTACAAGATGTCACATTGCATGTTTGTTAAGGTATTTAATATTCCCCTTTTTGGGACATGTATGTTGCTTCCAATTATTTGTTCTTATAGGGAATACTATAGTAAATACCCATATAAATCATGATTATTTTGGGGGGACCACTAGAGCAATTAGAATTATATAGCATTCTGGGCTTTTTTTTTTTCCAAAGGAGAATCAGATTTTATTAGGCACCTAGTATATCTATGTTGATTTAAAAAAAAATAACATTTTTAAAGCAGATCAGGTTGATGGAAAACGGAATGGAGAAGACAGAGAGCTCCTTTGTCCTTCCTACTTCCTGCCCACACTTAAAACCTCCCCCACCACAAACATTTGATCCTGGAGAGGCATATTTGCCACAGTCAATGAACTTACAATGCTATGTCATCAGTGAAAGTCCACAATTTCATTAGGGTTCACTTATCAATCATTAGAGTACATCCTGTGGGTTTTGGCAAACAGATAATAACATACAAAGCTCCGCCAACACAGTGAAATAGTTTAAAATCATCTATGTTCCACCTAGTCATCCCACCCTCCCCTCCAGCCTCTGGCAAGCACTGACCTTTTTGTTACCTTTACAGCTCTGTTGGTTCTTTCCTCCACTCAGATGCTTGAGGAAGTGTGAAGAGTGAGCAGGTAGGTGTTGCCTGTTGCTTGACAGAGGCTAAGTAAAGGTGACTAGAAATGTTTCCCTTTAATATACAACAGAGTGATCCTTGGGCAGCACCTAATCATTGGACTATGAGAAAGAAAAGTCGCTTCATGCAGGCTGATGAGTGAACAGAGGGTAAGGAAGGGGCAAGCATGGCAACAATCTTTTTCAAGAATTTAGCCAGGAGATGAGAAAGGACATGGTGGTGAGAGGAAGACACAAAGACTGAGGTCCCTCTCTACCCTCCTTTCGGTGCAGGAGAATGTTACAGAACACCTTTGCAGAAATCCCTCTCGGGGCTTTTGATGGTCTTTCTCTGTTTGGGCCCAGGTTGGCCTTTGACTTTTTAGCCTTGTTCTGTATTGCAGGCTGACTTCTGAGATCAATGAACTCAGTGTCCCTTGCTGTCTGGTTTACTTTTGGAGATGACAACAGGAGATGACAACAGATGACTGGAAGATTTGGAGAAGAGGGGGTACCGTAGTTAATTTTCTCGTTGCTGATACAAAATACCCAATAACCAAATTTAAAGGAGGAAAGGTTTATGTAATTCACAGTTTGTAGAGGTTTCAGCCCATAATTGATTGGCTCCAAGGCAGAATGGCAAGATAGAGGGGCTTTGCACAGGAGAAACAGTTCACGGCAGGTAGCAGGCACAACTTTGAACAGCAGCCGGCGATGGCAGCAGCCCTCTCTCTGTCCCTTAGGCTTATCCAGGCTCCCCACCCTTAGGAGAAGTAGCATGCACACTCAAGGGAGGGACCCCTTTTTAAGTTTTATTTTAAAAGGAATAAAACCAAGCAAAATACAACAGAATAAAGCCAATCAAAACAAGACAGTGTAAGTGACACGGGATTTCAAAATGAGACAATAGGAAATCAACAATGGTTTACCATAATGCCTCTTGTTGTGTTCCAATAGCTGCCCATACCTTTACACATAGTCAAATCAGACAAAACAACAGAATAAAATAAAACAGAACCAATAAAAATAAAACAGTGAATGAAGTACAGGACTTCAAAACAAGATAATAATAAATCTAAAGTGGCTACCATAATATATCTTGTTATCTTTGAAATAGCTGCCCATGCCTTTGGATATAATAAAATCAAACAAGATAAAATGGAATAAAATCCAACCAAAGAAAAACAATGAGAATGATCCAGGATTTTGAAACAAGATAATAAGGAATTAACAATGGCTATCACCTTCAGAAGGAGATGCCCATATGCTACATTGTGTATTGCTATCCTTTCACTAGATGATCAGACTACTGCAAAGCCAGTGAAGCAGTAAGTTGTATTTTACCTCAATAGCTGTCATCACAGCCTGTGTTTCTCCAGATCAGCTGGTCACTTACGGGGGGCAGGTGAAGTTCACTCTTTTTGTCTCCCTGCTTGCAGGACAGAAAGGGCTGGTGTCAGCCCATGCATGGCACCGACTCACAGGTCTTAGCTTCTTGTTGACCTCTTGTTCTCCTCTCTCACAGTCCACAAATGACACTAATTCACAGGACAGGGCTGGTGTTTGGCTCTTCAAAGGGGGGCACTCAATCCTAGCACTGCACCATGAATCAGTCCCATCCTTTACCCCTATATCACACACCCTAGATCCAGCCACCCCCTAAATCCCCACCTGTTGATATAAGACCTTCAGATTATACAGGGGAATTAAATGTATTTCCCAAACTGCTGGATGGCCAGTATGTCAAGTTTGTGCTTTCCAAGGTTGAAGAATGAATTCTAATGAACCACGGAAGTTAGGAATAGGAAATTCAAACAAGAAGCCAATCCTCCCTTCAAGCTGATGCCATGCACAGGCCACTGTGGGGAGAACCAGATGCCAGCCTTTTCCTGTGAGTCAGTGCCACTCACGGACTGTGGGGAAGAACAAGAAGCCAAGCCCTCCCTGTGGGTTGGCACCATGTGCAGCCCCCTGGGGGGAGAGCCAGACACCAACCCTTTCCTGTGTGTTGGTGCCATTTGTGGACTGTGGGGGAGGAGAACAAGAAGCCAAGGCCTCCTGTGAGTTGGAGCCCATGTGTGGACTGCTGGGGGAAAAACAAGACACCACCCTCTTCCAACAAGTAGGCTAGAAGACAAGAAGAGCCAACCCCACCCCCACCTCCCCACTCCACCATATGTGACCAGCTGATCTGGAGAAACACAGGCTATGATGATAGCTAACGAGGTAAAATACAACTTAATGCTTGTAGTGTTTAGTGTTTGACTGACTTTGCAGGCCTAGAGCCGGTAGTCTGATCATCTATTCAGAGGGTAACAATACACAATGTAGCATCTATGCAGAATCTCCTGCTGAAAGTGGTAGCCATTGTTAATTCCCGGTTATCTTGTTTTGAAGTCCTGTATCATTCTCATTGTTTTGTTTGGTTGGGTTTTATTCTGTTTTGTCTTACTTGATTTTATTATATCTAATAGCATGGGCAGCTATTTCAAAGATAACAAGATATATTATGGTGGCCATTTTGAATTTACTATTTCTTGTTTTGAAGTCCTTTATTGTGTTCACTGTTTTGTTTTTACTAGTTCTATTCTATTTTGTTTGATTTTTTTTTTAGCATGTCAAGTTGTGGGCAGCCATTTATTGGAAACAACAAGAGGCATTATGGTAACCATTTTGGATTTCCTATTTTCTTGCTTTGAAGTCCTGTATCATTTACACTGTTTCATTTTGATTGGTTTTATTCTGTTTTATTTTGCTTGGCTTTATTCTTTTTAAAATAAAGTTACCAAAAAAAAAAAAAAAAAAAGGAAATTCTATTGAGGGAGAAACAGTTCTTGAGAGGCAGGAGAGGTCCTGAGTGGATACACTTCTCAGAGGAGAGCTTTCTTTCTTTCTTTTTTTGACAGAGTCTTGCTATACAGTTCAAGATGGCCTTGAGCTCACTGTGTAGCACAGGCTGGTCTCAGACTCACAATAATCCTTCTGCCTCAGCCTCCAAGTGCTGCAATTACAAGTGTGTGCTACCACACCCAGCTTTCAGAGGAAATTTACAGAGCAAAATCACAAGATGGGTACAACATGGGCTAAACCTATGATCAATCAATAAAATTATAAGTAGAGCCACTTAGGTAATAATATTGGCCAAATGGGGAAGCAGATCACATAGCAACTGTACATGGACAGAACAAAGAATTTTTCAGGAAGGGATGGATCTGGGGGTCACCACCCCTAAGGTGGCTGATTTCTAGCTAGACTATTGGGCCAGGTGTTACCACTTATTTTATACCCTGGGGAAGCACATAGGCCTGGTCATTCTGTCTTTGTCTTGAGGCCTGACCTTCAACAGATGCACCCCTGGCCACAGTTGTCGTGTGTTTTCATCTTTTGTGATGTCTCTCTCCAGAGCTCAGCCCTGCCTGACTGCCTATATTATTTCTAATTCAGTTGTCTGTAATACTGCGACCACATGAGGCCTTGGGAGATATCTAGATGTGAGGCATAATGGGGAAAAGGGCAGGTGTTTGTCCAGAGCCACTTCCCGCACCTGCATCCTGCCACCAAGGCGGCTCCTGCCTTGTCCCCAGCTCCAGCTCCCACTGGACATGAGAAGCCAATGCTTCTCCCATAGCCTGCCATGGAGAAAGCTCCAGCTGCTACTGTGCCCCGGGTGCCTCAGCGCCTGCTTCCTTCCCTCACCTGGCCTGCAAGGTCTCACTCAAGGGCCTCCACCGATGCCTTGAGAGCTGGCTGGTGTAAGTGCCATTCTGCTTCCCACCAGGCCCTGACCGAAATGGTATAAGAGCTTACGCATCATTTGTGGGTGGCAGAGAAGAGTAACAGAGTGCTGGCGGCATCGTCTCCTTCTCCTGTGTAAATTAGGCTGAGGCTGATGGGCTTTTCCTAAGAAACGACCAGGATGGAACACGACCCTTCCATCTTCTAATTCTGTCGAAACATCAGAGGTCCTGTGGCGAGTGTGTATGTGTGTGTGTGTGTGTGTGTGTGTGTGTGCGCGCGCGCGCACATGAGTGTGCACACATGCATGTTTGTATATATACTTCCAACTGAAGGGAAATTCACCCATGGTTACTTAAAAAGATACTGTCATCAGTGAAGGTCCTAGGAATTGAAGCCAGAGCCTTCACTCTGACCTACACCCCCAACCCTTTTTCTATTTTCCCAATTTGAGACAAGGCTTCATTAAGTGCCTACATTGCCCAGTTCCAATGTTTAATCCCCCTGCCTCAGCCTCCCAGAGGCAAACATATGCCACCATGCCTGGCTCCTCATAGTTTTTTTTTTTTTTCCGGTACCAGGGATCAAACTCAAGACCACACTTGCCAGGCAGGCGCTTATGCCACTGAGCTAAATTCCCGGCTTCCTCATAGTTTTTTAAACAGAAGCAAAGAAGAGTATGATCCAAGATCATGTTGCCCCCCCCACCCATGTCTGTTGCCAGTGAGTCTGTAACACTGAGGGCCCTGTGTTCCCACGGGGCCTGGCACAAGCCACAAGCTCACTCCTTTCCCTGGTGCCCATCTCAGTGAGTTGCTTTGCTGGTGAGGCCCAGAGACCCACAGGCAGATGAAAAAGGCAGAGTGGGTGGGACTCAGAGGGCAACTCCACTGAGCCTCAGTATCTCTTAAAAGAGGGGAAGTGATCTGAGCTAACGTATACCCTGAAAGAATAAACTCACTTTAAAAGTGAGAAGCTAAAGATAGAGAGACTCTGTCCTTGGTACAGGAAGGCACAGCATAGCCCAAGAGAGGAGTTCAGTGTCATTATGTCCACTTCTAACCAGTGTGGAGACAGAGGACAGTCAAAGGGACACATTTTATTAGCCATTCTACATTCATGCCCTCTGTCTCTCTATCCTGTCCACACCACATCTCTTTTCCTATGGGACACCCATGGGACGACCTCTGTGATTCTCAAGGAGGGAGAACAAGAGAGCTGGTCTCGCGGGCAGGCCCTGGGCACTCTGCAGAGCGCGGTGCTTTGGGGAAAGGCAGGACAACCAGCTGCTCTTTCTGGGGGCCTATGAAGATGGAAGAGATATCCAGGTGGCCTCCCAGCGGATTGGTGGTCAGATCCAGCTGCACGGGGAAGATCTCCTGGTCCTTGTCCTGGGAATCTTCGGGTTTCTCATGATCTACAGCAGGGAGGTGCTGGATAGATCCTCGGGGCTTCCTTTCAGCAGGGGAGCTGGAAGGAGCTGTGTTTTCCTTTGGGGGCGGCGTCCCCCCCGGGAGGTGTGGAGGGTTGTGTTCAGCAGGGGAGTTCTCACTTCCAGGAGTCTGGACCTGAAGCGAGAATGTTTGCACATATGAAGTTCACAGGGAAAGCTGGCCATGTCTACTGCTGGGCTAAGCTGATCTCTGCTCAGTGAGCAGTCTCTGTTCCCAACAGCGGAAGAAGCGGGCAGTTTTTTGTTGTTTATTCTGTGCCAGATCCCATCTGCTCCTTCCTTTCTCTTTAGGGACCTAAAGGTGAGTGTTGCAATGCCAGCTCAGATGGGCAGGTAAATGCCAAAGCCCACGCAGCTCACAACAACAAGAGGAGGGGTGGAGCCTGGGTGGGAACTGCCGGCTGACTTATAGTATGTGCTCAATAAATACTGCTAGAGAGGGACTGAATGTTTTCATAAAAATGACTTTTCTCTGAGGTTTGGGGCAAGGTTTCTTTGGAACACTGCATTTAATACCTCAGAGGCTTGAGCCATTAATGCCAGAAATTCTCTGTTTCTGAGTGTTTCTTTGTGATTCTGTGGGACCATGCTGCGACTCAAAAATGTTTGATGGGTTTCTGACACCAGCTACCACGCAGGTGTGACCTTAGAGTAGTTTGAGCAAAAGCAGATGTCATGGCTCTGGATAAAATCAAGGGGGCAGGGTAGCTAAATACAGATAATTTTCTCTTTCCTTCAGAGGAAGAGTATTAGTCTGAAAAATACCTGTGATTTGAAGATGTTGCAAGTCACGGAGATGTACTTTTTAAAAAGACTTTCAATCAGAGAACCGTGGCAGAAGCCAACAGGCTAAAAGAAAAAAAAATACAAAGTCACATGAGTAAAACAATGATCAGTGATCATAAATGGAAATCAACTTGCTTTCTACCTATGTAGACCCATAGCCAATCAATGCATTAACAGTTTTACCATGTGCCGGGGGGGGCGGGCCTTGGCCACTTTTCTCTAAATTACCGTGAAGGAAGAAATCACACAAAGTAGGCTAGTTTGCCTCCAACGATGAGAAACTCGGTATTTCTTGAAGAATAAAATTCTTATTATTGGGAAGTTCTCTGTATTGAGCAGAAAGACCCACTGCCATTAAACCCTCTCAAAGTATTTTTTCTCACTTCAAACACACTCATCCCACTGTCTTTTCCACTTTCCAGGCAGTCCTGGAAGTCTTCCTTGAAGGACTTGTGCTGTGGTAGGTGTTTGGATGTCCTTAATCCATCTAAAGCATTTACCTTTCATGGTCATTTTACTCTGAGGGACGAGCTCTAAGTTGTGTGGTGCAGTGTCCATGAATAAGGGGGACAAGGGCACCCTTTGCTGTTTTTACAAGCCCACCTTTTGGTTGCGTCCACAGCATTTGCCAAATTTGTTTTTTATTATACCTTGGAAAGACCCTCATGCAAGAGGACTTCCAGAACTGCTTCAGGAAGGGTAAGAACCATGATACAAGTGTGTTTAGGGGAAGCATTTCAGGGAGTGGGAATGCGTGGCAAAGTGTCCTTTAAAAAAAAAAAAGAGTTAAAACTCACTGTATATTTTGATCAGACTTTTTATAATTTGTGCTCAACAGGCAGAGACAATCTATAAATACATTTCTTAAGACACGTTTCTTAAGGGACACTTACCGCAGAGGCAGAGGGCTGGAGTGGGCAGCTGCTGGCCTGGGACTTGTTACACGGTGACTCTCTGATTAAGTATTCCACATAGTAAGCAGGGCCAGACACCCACTGTTAGGAGACAGGAGGCGACACATTAAAGTGAAACCTTCCTCCAGGAGGAGCAGACACAGGCCTGGCAGATTACTTTAGAGACGCGACCCCTCTCCAGAGGCCCTGCCAACGTGCATTCCCACCCCTGCAGACCCTCGTGGGCCTGAGCCGTGTGCTAGAATTGTATTTAGAAAACTTAACCACACCTTTCTTCTTTTCTTTAGCATTTGAAGAGGTCCTAAATGTTTTCGCTGATCAAGTTTAATTTTCCACATGGAGATTTATCTTTTAGATTGTTTTCTTTTATAGGCTAATATTTTAAATATCAGTGTAACCCAATTACGAATAAGTCTCCACTCCCCCTTAGTCTATGTAACTCATCCTCGGCTCAGGCTTCCACTGGGATGGAGTCAAAGCTGCCTTCTGAGTGGTCCACCACCATTCAGACCTGCGCACAGCAGTGGACAGTGAACATGGGGTCATGGGGTCTTGGGGTCATGAGGAAGTAAATGGAGTCACACAGCTCCTGAAAAACCCCATGGAACAAGAGAAACTGATACACGACCTCACACGCATCAGGTCTCCCAGAGCAGGGCAAGGTGAGAAGGGCTCTGGGTCCTCAGTTTAGGAGTCCATAGCTATGGTTAGGAGATGCATTCATACCTGTCTAGACACCCTGGTGACTTTGTCGAGAGAGTACTGCTTCGAGGCACTCTCGTTGTTGTATTTTGCAAGAGTCTCAGTGGCAGCTTTTAAGATCCCATCATCTGAAAAGTCAGTGGTGCTGGGAAAGGGACAGTCCGGGCACAACAGTTTTCTTCTAGAAACTATTGAGATCAATGAGAACAGTTTTTTCAAAAAGTATCGATTTTCAATCTTATCAATAGCCACAAAGCATACGACTGTAACAGAGGCAAAACTTTCATAAAAAAGATAATATTCAGTGTTGGCAACAACGGCATAAGAAAAAATATTTTCTGAAAAAGAAATTACTAGGGCTAGGATGTAGCTCAACAGCATAAGCACCTGACTGGCAAGCGTGGGGTCAAGAGTTTGATCCCTGGTAAAATTTTTTAAAAAGGAAAAAGAAAAGAAGCTAGCTGCTGCAGTAAGTTTTCTATTATGAGCAGCATTATTTGCATAATTAAAAAGAAGTCAAAGCAAGATTGTTTTTAACTCACACAAATTTTCTTACTTTAGGAATTTTATTCCAATATCTATAATGTAGTGTATGGAAATAAGATATCCATTTGAAGGGTTTTTTTTCCTTGTCATTGTCTTAAAAATAAACTGAATGTCTTTAAAAGGTTAGGACTTCATTATTACCATGTTTTATTTGTCTTTTAATCTTGAACACCAGCATAAAATCTAACACAAAGGAAATAAGCCAATGGCATAATGCAAGGCAGGTGCATATCCTCTTTGGTTAGAAAACGTGAGCTAGAAAACAAAATTGGTCAAATCACTGTGTGACCTGAGAGAATGACCACATGACAACCACAGTTTCCGTCTGAGAGGAGTGGGGGTGGCAAACCTAGTGTGAAGATGAGGTTAGGAAATCTTTCTTGACGTTGTTTTGTGAGAACACACATGATTTTGATTAACTGCACACATTGAGGGGCTGAGGAACGTTACAGGGAAGTTATATCCACTTGAGCACTCATCTTTTCCTGGCCCTTCGAAGTCTGATCACTGTGACTTCTATCAAAGCGCTGAGACTACTTCCGAGCTGTTGTTCTCTAATTTGCTCTAGCTAAGTCTGCGTTCACACCAGAAACTTTAAACTGTGGCTAACACAGTTGGTTCTGTTGCCTTGTGACAGCACTGTTGTCCCCCGGGGCACTTTAACAAGGTCCACAAGGGGAGTCACAGTCACATAGTAGCTTGGTATCCTGTCTGCCCACGCTCCAGATGCTTGCTTTCCATGAATTTTCTTTGTTAAAAGGACGATCAAGAATGAACACATGTGCATATTCAAATGTCACTGGTTTCAGCCTTATTCTTTGCCTATTTATTCATTTATCCAACAATATTCATAAACTTAAGCTTACTAGGAACCAATGAGAGAATGGCAGGGAGAAGAAACAATAAAATATTTTCCTAACAGAAGATACAAAGCTCCACACCAAGGCACTGAGGTAAGGCTGTGCTGTGAGTGCTTTGGCCTAAGTTGATAGGAACACATGACAGGAGAGCATCATTACTCCCTTGGAGGCACAGCACTGCAGAAGAAGCAATATGGGTAGCATGCTTGAGGGAGGAGCACATTCTAAGGACAGAGGTCATCATCAGTGGAGGAACAACACAAACAAGATGCAGAGTTCAGAAAGTGTGGTGTGTGTTCAGGTCACAGTAGCTAGAAAGGAGCCTGAGGACCACTTGTAGAGATCGTGCCATTTATGCAGGCCTGAAGACACAAAATTTCATACAGGACACACATGTCGAAGTACAAGGGTGGTTGAAGTGAGTGCAAGTTGGATTTTATTAGGGAGGCAAGTATTGGAAGTATTAAGCAACTTGTATCAGGATGAATAAAAAGTAAGGATATGAGAAATCTTATATCTTCTTGGCAAAGCCCTCGTTAAATGGTTTTTAAAAGCTCTTTTATTATAATTAACAAAATCATCACAATCTCTTACCTGGGCGAAGAGTACAGTTATAAGCCAGTAAGAGGAGAATTCTTTGTGATTTGTTGACATAAAAAGCTGCTTTGCATTGACCATAAATCTGTAACCAACAAATACATTTCATGACACGGTAGATGGAATCATGAGGTTTTAAAACACCCCTCCTCACACAGCGAAAGTTGCAGACTTTGTTTTAAAGGAATGAGAAATGTAAACTCAAACTCTGTGGTTGGGGAGGAACTGCAGATGATGGGGCTGTTTAAGCTTTCTCTGGGACACAGTGAGGTACACTTCCCATCCTCCTGGAAGTTACAAACGAATAACTGAGTTCTAACTGGTGGAAGGTGAGTACAAGGACTGATAGGCAACCACTTCCGTCCTGGTACACTTTCTCTTTTCTACGCTGGTTCTCTTTTGCAGCTTGAGGCAAGTGAATGGACAAAACAGGACCATAGTAGCTGTGAGTGGAATGTGGCAGAGTCCGGGTCATAGCGTAAGAGGAACCTGGATCTCTGCCTTGCTCCTGGAGTTCACCCCTCCTGATCAGTAGTATCTATTTCAAACTCTAAGTGAGGGAGAAATAAGCCGCTGTCGTGTCAGAGTCCAGATGCATCACAGTAGTGAGTGTCACTGAAGCAAATGTAGTGAACAATAGGGCGAGTGGACTTGGATTTCAAAAATTCGGTGCAGTTGACAAACTAGGTTAAATGATTCGAAAAGATCTTCTGATCGCTGAATTTATGTCTGAGCATTTACAGCACTATCCTGTACTCAGGATGCATAATTCATATCAATTAATGGAAATTCTCCCAGGATAATTGAAATCAAAAGACAAGTGACATTTTTCAAGTGTCTTCAATGGTCATCTTTGAAAGAACCAATTCTGAGAACGTTTAGACTTGATAATTGTAGGAAACTCTTTCTTTGCAGCCCCGAGAGCCCCTCTATTGTAAGTCATCCCTTTTTTTTTAAAGCCTAAACCTCATATTATGTTCATTAAAACAAAATAAAACAAATTTAAAGAGCTATCCCTCCATTGCTTCTGTTATCTACTTTAATTCTTTTTCTCAAAGACTGATTCAGAGACCTCAGGTGAGTCTTGGAGGTAGAGTATAATGTGTGGACAGCTTTTCAATTCTGGTTAGCATCACTCCAAAGAAATTTCTCAGAAACCCCTCTACATAAGCTGGGTTTTGTCTGTGGCTTAAAATAAGCCTATGGGCACTTTGGCCAGGAATTGAGAGAGATATTTATTTCTTTTTGTCTTTTTGGGACAGGGTCTCCCTATGCAGTCCAGGCTGGGCATGAGCTCACTTTGTAGCTTGGTCTCAAACTTGCAGTGATCCTCCTGCCTTAACGTCCCAAGTGCTGGGATTACAGGCATGTGCCACCATACCTGGCTCAGAAAGAGGGACATTTAAAAGACAGCAGGCAATCTTCTCAGTTTCCTGGCTATTTGGTTTCCAGCGAGCCCCTGAGAACGAGCACTTACTGATTCATAAAGTGGCCTTCCCCCACAGTCGGTCCAGTCCTTCCTGCTGAGCACATGGCAGCTGGTCTCCAGCACATCCAATGTGAGGTAGAAAAGCGAGCCCCGGCTGCCCTGCGGGGCAGGTGGAGAAACACAGCACATTCCACTTGATACAGAAACTCGTGCAGGCTGGACAAAACCATCTCTGCTTTATTAGAACATCAAAGAATGCCATGCATTTGAAGATGCTTTACAAACTGCCAAGATTTGGGCAGGTATCTCCATAGCATCTGTTTCCAATCACAAGAGCACTGCAGCACACCTGCCAGAGGGTTTCCCAACAGGCAGCTCAGGCTTCCCACCCTTTTCCCAGGCTTTGAAGCCTGTCCATGTGCCTGTCCCAGCCGGGGAACCGTGCCTTACCTGTATGTGCTCCCATGCATCATGCACTCGGTTGAGCCCCAGCACATAACCATCCTGTTGGTCTGCGTTGATGTGCTTCAGGGCCAGGCCTGAGAAAAACAGCACATCCGAGTCGTTGCAGCCCCGGGGGAGAGGATTTGGGAAGCTGAGAGGTTGCAGGGGTACAGACCTAGCCCCACAGCAAGTGACCTGGGCCAGGGCACAGAGTACCAGGGACCAGCGAAGATCCATTTTGCGGTAACAGGACCACATAGTTCAGTATGTGCAGCTGCAGGAATGAGCTGTGTTGTGGGGTTCCGTGAGGCAGATGAGCAGATTTTATGATTACAAATGACCGGCCAGTATTTAAAAGATGGTGTTGTAACTGAGCACCATGATTTCTCCATGCAGATTTGCTTTGGATAGGCCTTAGCAATGTTGTACTTCAGACTCTTGGGCAACCCCATGCTCCTGTGTACCTGTCAAACAAATTCAAATTTCCTAAACTTTTCCCCCAAGAAATCATAGCAAACATTTAGTTAAAGGTCTTGCCAGGCTATGATTGGATTCTGACTTGCATCCAGGTCTCAGTCTGAAGCAGAATCTGGGGAGACTATCACCCTCTTCCCTCTTCCCTGCAGCCAGTCTCCTCCTCGGCCACATTCACAGTTACCTGAGTCAGGGGCATGTGGCGACAGATCCCAGAAGGGGCTCAGATTTCACCACTTCATTAGACCAGAAAGGTGACTTACACTTCTCAGTCCCCTGCCAGAAGCTCGGTGACATTCACCATGCATTTTGGGCCATTTAGCCTCATTTAGGATATGTTAAGCCAAAGACAGTATTTAAGGGGGGAGGAGCTAATGAGGTATCGAAAGTTCTCATATCATACTTCAGGTCTATTCTTTCTCCTGTGGATCTGTATGAAAGTGGATTCATTAAAGCCTAAAGCATCACACCAGGGCCAGGGATATAGCTCAGTGGCACAGTACCTGCCTGGCAAGTGCAAGGTCCTGAGCTTGATTCCTAGTACCAAAAAGATAAAAATAAGTAAATAAATTCTTAGGGAAAATCTGCCTGATAGCATTGAAAATGAGATTTCTTCCAAGAATCTTTACAGCAGTGCAGTTAAGAGCATAGACCAGGTTCAGACAAGCCTTGGTTCAAATCCCAGCCCAGCATTGCAGGCTGGGATTAAGGATAAGTTCTCCACCTTCTCTGAGGCCATAGTTCTTCAAGAGATGGATGTGAGAGTCGGGTGGGAATTCAACACGAAGTGCTTGGCACATGATTTACCTCCAGAACACTAACAAAGTAATTCTGAAAGATAAGAAGGAGCCAGGGAGGATCTCCAACCCACATGGCATACTCACAGTTATGCTGGTCTATAAAGAGAGACATTACAGTGCTTAGAAGCAGTCTTCTTAGGGAAGTAGCACCTCAGGAAGGACCTCAGCTTTGTGGGTCTTCCACCCAGGAATTCCTGAGGACCCAGTGTCCCTCATACCTGGGAACTGACTCACACCAACTTTCTGCACAAGGAACTGTTGAAGAAACCAGCAGCTTGCTTGTTGATTGATTCAGAAGAGGGATGATTCTCCTGTTGTCTTCCCAGCAGGGCTGGACAAATGCTGGGCACCTTTTTATAACCTATAAACAGATTGCATGATCATTTCAGAACACCAGGGAATAATGTAACCATGTGTTAGCTAGATCCCAGGAGCAGGCATACACCCTAATCCTGAATTAGAGGTGGGTTCCTAACAGAACTTCAATTAGGTACAGTGTTTTACTGAGGCACCTCCCTGCACCTTGCAACAGACAGGGTATTTCCCAAGTAACCGGATCAATCCCTTTATAAACCAACCTGGAGGGTGTGACTGTCTGGCAGATGGCTTTCTCTATATTTTATTGCCAAATTCCACCATAACCAATACTGCCTACATGCTGGCCCAAGAAAGCACTGATTGAGTACCTACTGCATGCCAGGTACTAAGCTAGGTATGAGGTGCTTCCTCTTAATCCTCACTGACTTAGTTACTTTCTCATTGCTGGGACAAAATGCCCAACAACCACAGATGAAGAGGAGAGGTTAATTTTGCTCATAGTTTGTAGGGATTTCAGCCCATGGTCAACTGGTTCCAAGGCAGGGAAACAAGGCACAGGAGAATGGCCATGGAGAAACAGCTCATCATATAGCAGGTAGGAAGCAGAGACCCTTCCTTCTCCTTTCCCTTTTTATTCCATCCAGGCTGCAAGCGTATTGGTTGGTTGACCCAGGGTAGGTCTTTCCAATTACTCATACCCAGAACTATGCTGAACCAATCAGTATACTAATTCAGTATCACACATCCATTATCCAGTGCGCCTAAAACTCCCATCTTTGAGTGTATGAAGCTTTGGGTAGACAACTAGAAATAAGACATGATACCCAGAAATGAGATTTGTCAAGAAAACATTTTTATTTTGTGTATTGCCCCAATGTGGGGCTGTTGGCCAGAGGTATGTATGAGATGGATATGCAAAGGTAAGGGAGTTTTGGAGCCACAGGCTTCCTAGAATGCATGGTTAGAGGTCTGAAAAATAGCCCACAGAGCCACAATTCCAAGTAAGATCCCAACACACTGGCTTAAGGAATGAGTGCTCTGCTCCTTCCTTCCCATACTCTGATGGTCACTTAGACTGGCCCTACAGTCAATCATATGACACTTCCCTGTCCTTCCTCTGCCCCCTACACAAATTCCTGCACAGACATTGTCCTTTTTTGTCTACTGTCTTTGCTTCCTGGTTCTACCAATAAGAAGACACGGAAGTTTCAGTTTGGAGCTGTCTGTATGAGACTGTTTGATACTGACAGGTCTCAGTTAAGGGAAGTCCTTCTGGGCCTTCTTAACAGTTTGAACTGGACTTTCACTGTGAGTAATTTCTCATCCTTTGTGCCATGCCACTGTCATGAACTGCCACCACCCCAAAGCCTGTGTCCCTTTCTATGCTCTACATGTTGTGATAACTGATGGCAGTTGATAAAGAAGGGGAAGTGGGTTGAAGAAAGAAAAAGCTACAACCATCACAGATTCTTAAAGACAACAACAGTGGGGGTGAAGAGAGAGATTGTGACGTTCCAGGCAAGAAGCTGCTCCAAAGGTTGAGAATTTGTTCCTGACATGTTCTGGGAACCGGTTTCCTCATCTTAAGAATAAGAAACTTCTTCTGAAGTTTGGCAACAACAAAAACTTTGAGAGACTAGAAATGTGTGCTCCTGTTCCCTTTCCTGCCTAAATGTGGTTTGATATATATTTTATCACAGATTTGTACAGTTAGGAACTCTAAGGACCTTAAAAAATCAGGATGCCATACCCCACTTTCTTGAAATGATGTTGTCAGAATCATGAGAAGTTAGATACCTAGCCTGAGACCAAATGTCCAGCCATGGATTGAACCCCAAGGTCTGAGTCCAGTGTTCCTCTTGGGGAGCCCTTCTTCTCCTTCTCCTTCTCCCTGTCCCTCTCCCCCTCCGCCTCCCCCTCCCCCTCCCTCCCCCTCCCCCTCCTTCCTCTTGTTCTTGTTCTTGTTCCTGTTCCTGTTCACATGGATCTTGTTGGGTCAATACTCAGACAAATACATCCTTATCCATCCGCTACAAGGTAAACCAGTGTATTCCCCACAATTTTGATTTGCCATCTGCTAATCCAAGGCTCACTGGCTTCTGGCAGGCTTCTCTCAGAGGACAATGTCTTGAGAGACTGATTTGCTTTCACTCTTCTAAGTAATAATACTGACCTGAGAGGGGCACTCACAAGTGGGACCATCGGTGTGTGCTGTCACTGAAAGGGGCAGAGCTTATGATTAGATAGACCTGTAGGATGGACTCAGTCACTGGCTGTGTGACTTCTCTGATGGGATAATTTATTTCCTCTGGCATTCAAGTTCTCACTCATAAAAATATAGGCAACAGATATATTTGCTGGACTATGTGAGCTTATGCATATGACACATGTCTGGACAAGAGTAAGTTATAATAACTGATACTTTTTTCATTGATCCAAAAATATTTCTATCTGTGAGTGGAGATGAATAGAGAGCTTGGAGGCTCACTATAAGTTTTTAAAACTTTTTCCTCATTAAAATAATATTATTGAAGTGATATATGTACTTCATAGAACAATAAAGCAAATAAGATTATTATACATTGATAACAGTTATTAATGTTTTCTAGATTATCTTCTATGCATATATCACACTTAAAAGTAGTATTATACTGTACATATTATAGCATAGCTTGCTTTTAAAAGTTTAACAGTCACTTATTGTAAGGGTTGATTCAGACATGACTCTCCCAGTACCCAACCTGAGGCATTGTTAGCAGACTGGCATTGGGGCTGCCCTCAGCGAACACAGGATGTTGTAAAAGAGATAAGAGGGAGCATGTAATCTTTCACAAACACCTGGAATGTTTTAGGAAGACACCCAAATGCTCACATAGGATGCCTCAAGGACTTTGCCTACCCACCCACGAAACATCCAGAGAACTTTGGCCACCAATATTTGCTAAGATTTTCCCACTAATGCCCCTGTCCTCTTTCAACCCCTATTTTAAAACGCCTACTTCTCTTTGCTCCCTACACATAGCCCTATCGCCCTCTGTCTGCCTGCATCCAGGTATGAAACCATAAGCGTCTTTGCTTTCACAGAAGACTGTTGAATGGTCTCTGCCTCGGGTCGTTCCTTACAATTATGAATAGCTGACATATAAATACACCCACTTCTACAACTTAATTTTCAATTACTACCTAATAGCCCATTAACAGTTGATTCAGTTGTTCACACCAATCTCTTTGTAAGACAAATTGTTTCTGGTCTTCTAGTATAAACAATGCTGCAACTAACTTTTATGGTTAAACCCTCATTTAATTATCACTACTTAATTATTTTCTTAGTTTAAATGCCTAAAAAGGTAATCACTGGGTCAAAGGTTATTTCTAATATTAAAGCTTTATGCGATTGGTATATTGCTCTCCAGAAAGAATCCACACTAACAGTGTATACACCACCAGGATATGATCTTCCTGTGACTGTCACAAGCCCAGTAAGCAGAAACCTTTCTTTCTGAAAGGGTACGGAGAGGTCGTAAAACTTGAATTTCTGGACTCAATAGACAGATGGGTCTGAATTTTGGAGGGTAAGAAAGTTCCTCCACCCAAGTACTGTAGTGTCTCAAGTTCTTCACCAGTGACTAGGATAATTCTTCTGTAACGGGCACTACCTTAGCTGCTGAGAATAAAGAACCAAATGCACATCCGGGTGCCCTTAGCACACTTAGAAACAAAGGCGTTAAATGAGTCACTGGATTCCCTCTGTTTAACTCTAAATAGCACCCAACAGCCATTCCT